TTTACGAGGGTTAAAATTAATCGATTCCTTCCCATACGATCCCAAAGTATATAACTGCAGCAAATCTAGTTAAGGTCGTAGAATTGTTAAACTCACTGCGGTTGCCTATCCTTAAGCTCGCTCAAGACATACTGAAGAGAAGTCTATGGTCTCCAGCCCTGCAAATTTTCTGGTTCAGAATGATTGTTTTCAGGTAGGCTGGAAATAATCTTCGCCAATTTGCTAATTCCATTCCTACTTTGCACTGACGTATGCCCTGTTTCTACTTGATTTCGAAGATACCTACGCCAGAAACAACATCACGTACCATTTCTCTTCAAACATGTTTTCATGATATCAATATTTCAGATCTCAAATCTTTGTCATAATATATACGCTATTTACAAATCATAATAATTGGCAAAAATTCTGCGTGATCTTTCCTCATTACCCACCCTCTTCCCTGACGCGAATCAGAACTGGAAACGTCTCTATTCGGATTACCAGATTCATAATCAAAATAAAATTGGTCAAAAGTCTAGTAATAAATTTCGAATCCGCCCTTTTCCAATCAGTGAATTAACACTACTTTTTATTATTGAGGTTTCGTATTCACTTTGCCTTTAACAGCCTTGTGAAGCTAACAACGACAGAGCATATAATTAAAGATATGCAAATACCCCTGTATTTTATGTAATGAAGGAAGTCGTTTATTTGTGGTCGGATAGAATGGGACTTTTGACATATTCTTGTGTTAAGGTAGGTTCAAACTAAAAGCCTGGGAAACATTGCCAGCTTTCTCAGAGAAAAGAAAAATATTAATTCATGGTACATAATAAACAAAGGATGAGTGCATACTTATATGTCAGACAGGAGAAATGTACCAAATGGATATGAATAATTTTATATATTTACCAAAACAATTGTGATTTCAACATGCATATTTTCATCACAGTAATAATAAACCGATTGCTTTGTTATGTAAAACTCCAGGGTAAATTTCGCTTGCTTAATACGATAGCATAAAATTATTACTCCAGCAAAAAGATAAAAGAGAAAGAAAAGAAAAATTATATTTATGAAAAGTTAAGTTGATTAAAACTCTTCCATAAATGAAGCCGAACAATCAATCTCGAATCCTCGTAGTTTCACATTTAGATTGTGGCCTAAGGATTACGTAACACGCAATAAAAAAAAATAGCCCAAAGCAATAAATCTAAAGTTTGATTAGTAATGTTAATAAAACAAAATATAATAAAAACAAAACAATAAAACAAAACATACGCCAAAGAGTTAAAAAGACATCGCCATTTCAGTGCGAATACAGACCTGTGCTCATAAATATTATGCAACCCGGATACAAAAGTTTATGCACATCGAGGGCAACAACTACTAAGATCACGAGACCGTGAGAAAATAAGTTAGGCAAACAAATTTAATTTCCTATTTTGTGAATCCCCTTGGCTTTTTCATTTGGTCCACGCGGGATGCTTTTCATTCAGCTGACAAAGAACGGGAAATAACATATTTCACATTAAAATAACAAACATTACTTTCTATTGACAACTCCCAATGATAATTAGTTAAAAGCACAAGTGGTATTAATGACTCTCTGAAACTAGACCGATCTATTGGCTGCACGAGAATATATCCATAAAAATTTAATGCTAAAGTAATCATCCAAAATGGATAAATTGCGAACAGTGTTGCGTGCTTTTGGAGAGGGTGTTGAATCTTCGAGAAAAGAGGTAGACATTACTTCTTACGAGTAATTTCTATGTAGTGTACTGGTAATAGGCTTGTTTTCACGTTTTTTGGTATTTCCCTGCCTCGTATGGCCAAGGTAAAGTAATGTTCCTTTTAACGCCACTATATGCAGCTCGGAATCATTTTTCTGACCTCATTGATGTAAATGAAGGAAATTTTTATAGAAAACGTTGTGCTAAAAGCTTTGAAAAACTTTAATTTTTACACAGCTCTCAAAATCGATCAGTCACATCGAATGAAATTACTTGAATTCGTTTGAATACCAACAACATACCATGCTCAAGGTTAAGTGCATAAATTTAATTACGTAATACAAGTGTGAATATACATACATTTTTTTCATACAGTGTGAGGTTATTTTACAGGAAAACAGTGACGGTCTGGAAATTGTTGATATCAATGGCGTCTCGTGAAGAATACGAAACAAAATGTAAGAAGTGTGACAGTATCTTGTTATTTTTAATTTTGATTATAAAGCTGCAGTAAAGAACTGAGTAGGTGGATTAGGTCACGTGTTTGATGTTACGTTAGAGCTGAGTTACGTGATGGAAATATTATGTAACCGAGACTGTACAGCCTTTGTAATGTAACCGAGCTTTGAGGAGTGTAATCTTACCGATGAGCATTGCTTTGGTTAACATTAAGGTTTTTATTTTTTTTTACCAAGGATGTACGTTTAAGGGTTGAAATTGAATATACTTATAAATTTGAAGTTCTAGGTATGATAATGAAAAAGCAAACAATTAAAACGTTTGGCGGCTTGTGTTGTACCGATTCCCCAGCTATAAATGACTTGTTTACCTGGAGGTGGGGGAACCCAAGTAAGTGAGGTAACCCACCTAGCTTTGGCAGCTTTTATTTTCAATCTTACAACCCCGGGATCTCGAGGTGAGATTTCTAGAGTTTCTTGACGCGCTTTCAAAATGCAACATGAACGCAAGCCCGTTGTAAAAAAAGGATTAATTTACGAAAAAGAGGCTAAAGTCCAAACTCTGGGGGAAATATTTATTAAACTTGTCAAATAAACCACAACATTTGGCTAAAACAAAAACTCCGACACTTCTCAAAATTCCAAACAAAGGGGTAACAAATTTGCGCGAATAAAAGCTAAAAGACAACTAACCTAACTCCGTTAAAACAAAACAAGAAAAGTACGCGAAAAATGTCCGGGTCAGTTTCCAATGTCCAGGTTAGGGTTCCTTGACGTGATTGGCTAATTTGTGAAATCACGCGCGTCGTGCGTGATTACAAAAAAATTCAAAGGGCGGGAGGAAGGGAAAATGATTGTAGTTTGAAATTTAAAAAAAGAAATAGATGTTCTACACCCGACTAGGCGGTGAACCCCTCTTTAAAATGTTTACATAGCAAACTACAACCCAGTCAGACCGGGTCTCTATACCCGGTAGACCGGGCAACCTCCCTAGGCGGGTTACCCCACCTATCATGCAAACGTGATCAAGATAGAACAAGAGATTATAAGAAAAGGCAGATTACTCCAGCTCAGCGGGTTACCTCACCTACCTGGGGTCCTCCACCTCCATGTGAACAGGATTTGAGTCTCTGAAGTCTGGTAGTAAAACATCAGAGCAAGTAATCCGAAGGTTTGAGATTCGATTGTTTATTGGATCGCGACAAGACGATAATACATCTTTTGATATCATACGTCTTGATTTTTTCTCTTCTTTGTTTTTGTTTAACTTCACGTAGGGAATGTGACAAACATTGATGGAGAACGTATCCAGCTTGCGTGGCTGATGTATTCAGCGTACATCATCGTATTTCTGGTGTCAATATTCGGCAACTCAGTTCTCATATTAATCATCAGAAGAAGCAAATCTATGAAGAACACCACCAACTTCTTGATTTTGAATCAATCATGCTCGGATTTACTGGCAACGTTTTCAAGAGTAATCTATATAGCGGTGATACAAGATATTTCCTTACGCAAATTATGGTTTGGGGGAATTTCAGGCCAAGTCACGTGCAAGTTATTTCTCACGTGCCTTTTTGTTCCACGCAATTTTTCAGTTTTGATTCTTGTGGCGATAGCTATAGATCGTTTTTTTGCCGTCACCCAGCCGTTCAGGCGGTCGCCTCTATCTCAACACCTCAAGAAAACCATAGTGTTGCTGTGGCTATGGTGCATTGTTGCTTCGTCTTATATGCTTGTTAAGGGAACCGTGAAAAACATCCAAGATTCATTTTACTGCGACTACAACGAAAACCCTGATAATATATTCAACGAGTGGAAAGAATTCAACGCTTCTGCTATTATTATTTTATGTATTCTGCCTGTGTTCATAGTGGCAGTTTTATATACCATTGTATGTTACAAATTGTGGTCACGTGAGGTCCCAGGCGAGCAAACCAATCACAGTCAAGCATCAGCGGAGGCCTTAAAGACCGCAAAGAAAGTCACCAAGATGATGGTAGTTGTTGCGGCGTTATTTGTTTTGTGTTGGTTTCCATACTATTTGAATTTAGTGGTGCAGTTTACTGGTCATGGAAAAAGAAATTATAAATCAGAGTTGAGCCTCGTTTGGTTAACCGTTGCTTTCAGCGGTTTTAATCCTTACATTTATCTCACTTTTAATCAAGCGTTCCGAAATGGATTTCACCACTTATTTGGAAAAAGCTCCAGGCAAATCAAGATTCAAAATGTTTTGTCTTTTCGATCGCAAAGTGTAGAATTAGAGCAAATGCACAATGTAGTGGAACATCCATCCAAAACAAGAAAAAGTGTCCCCGGAACATAAGTGTCCCTCTTATGACAATTACAGAAACCTAAGATTGGAGAGTTTTTTCCACTGAGTTACTACCAAACTTTGTTTTCCCTAAAAGGCAGTGTCCTCGGAATTTCGCAAATGTGGTTCGACGAAACTATGGTCATTGATCGAACCAAATTAACAAACGTCTATAGTTGGATTCGGTTTCAAATAACGAGCCGTTATATTCGGTATATATTATATATATCTTATTGAGACTACACATTCTGTCATCTGATGCATTACAAATGTATATAAACCTTTAGCTTATGAAGAGTGGGGTCTAACCATAACCAATTAACATTGAATTAACATAAGATAGTTTTAAAATACCCTAATAAAAATTTCATGGAAGATGACCAATATTTAAAGAATTTTTGTTATTAAAATGTTCGCGGAACATTAGAATTTTATTAATAAAGTTTACATATTGTATGCGTAACATCTGACAATAATTAATCGTTGTAAAACGCGTCCAAGCCTCTTTGCACCTATTCCCATTTGTCTGCGTTTCTGTTTGTTTGGTTTTTTTTTTTTTTTTACTTTTTTTGTTTTTCCCTCTTTCCTTTCTCCTTGTTTCTTTCATCCTCTCGTTCTTTTAATGGTCCCATAGCATATTATTCAATTAAAAATACGCTTACAATCTAACAGGAAACGACTATTCAACATCCAATTTGTTATGCTTGCCTACAGCATTGAACGTCCGAAGAAGCTGGAAGTTTACTTTCATACGTTTATGACGCAGGTGAAATTACTATTTGCGAAGGTAGTTAACGCTACGCAGAATACTAGGAAATACTTTGCCTGTAGAAGCGTCATATGCCTAATTTTCACGACCTTTAGGTGGTATTACCATGAAGTCTCGTCTACTTTAATCAAAAATTTGTGAGCTTAATTGACTACAATGCCGAGGTTTCGTGAAATGGCCTTTTCATTTGACAGGTTTTCCATCGAGAATAACAAGGTTTCTCCATCCTTAATCCCCTGTCAAAAATTAACATAGCACTTTTCAGTTAAACGAGAAGATTTATTATGGAAAATTAATTCACAGACTTAGATTATTCTAGAAGATTTTTTGTCGCCTCTCTTTCTTAGTCCTCTTAAGTCAACTGCGTTACGCCAAGTTTTGGAATCGTGAAGATTTATGGTTTTACAGAATTGCATGCCATATAGTTTTTGTCAAAACTCTTTTTCGGTTTCAGACGCATTTTCGTCCGTTCACTACAATTTATATGCTGCAATAAGACTGAACCCATTTAGCCTAAAGCTACTTTATAGATACCACGTGCGTGAAATTGTGCATGAGTGAATTGAATTGTGAAGTTCTGACATCAGTGGCACCTCAAAGGTTATCAAATGAGCGGAAATGAGTGATGTTTGTCGTAATGAATTGTTTGTACGTGCTTCTTTGACGAACGGAACCGAGAGCGGCTGTTCATACAAGTTAAAGGTATTGAAAAAAGAGGATTTTACTGTGCGGGTGAAAGACATCTCAAAAGTTTGAAATTTCGATCACAGTAAGTTTAGTGTGGATTGGCTGGATTGGGAAACAGAGTATTTTCTCTTACTAAGAGGTAAGAGGTTGAGAAACCTTGATTTGGCGAGACAGCAAAAACTGGATAGCTAGATTGAGAGAACCTTTTTTAGCAAGAGTTCTTCTAGATACTTTCTCAGTGTTAAGCAAAGGATTCGAGCCTCAAACCCACACTTATGGCAGAATGCGACAGAAATATTAGCGCGTTTCTCGGCCACTGATAGACAGAACATTTTCCTTCCAATAATTTGGTTCGGTGGAAAACACGGAAATGCGGAGTGTCGAAAACGCGGAGTGTGGAGAGTTCAGAGTGTAGAACTATATAAAAGAAAAAGATATAAAATTATATACATGTATAAAGATTGTATTAAAGAATAATATTTAAAGGTATGCAAGTAATAAGAAAATGAGGATTGTGGAAAATGCAGAGTATAGAAAGTTATTTAATTTAAGATTTTGTTTTTCCTTTGTTGAATTATTACATCATTGAATCATTGGTAAGAATAGTAACAAACTAGCAAACAAAAAAACATTAACATCATTGTCAATTAACTAATAGTAACAAGCAGTCCATTTTCTTTAGAAAACGATGCATCATTGCATTTTCAAGGCTAAATCGTACATTGTTTTTTGCAGCTATAAAGAACAGTAACAAATACGTAAACAAAATAATTCAACGAGTGAAGAATTACTCTCAACAGTAACAAGCTGTTCATATTCTTTAGAAAAGTGATCAATCATTGCATTTTCACTCTTAATCATGCATACAAGCTTTATACATGTATATATTTTATATCTTTTTCTTTTATATTTTAATTCTTCTATATTTTATTTCTTTTATATTTTTACACTCCGCGTTTTCTACACTCCACATTTCTACACTCCATATTTTCCACACTCCTCGTTTTCTTCATTTTCCACACTCTCCGCATTTTCCACACACACCGCGCTCCGCATTTTCCACCGAACCCAAAAATTTGAATAATGATAAACACTAGTGTTATCAAAATTGGAACACCTTTGTTCGAGTAGGGCTAGAACAACGATAAATTTTGTTGAACTTCTCTGTAAGAGTTTCCTGCCATGATGCAGGTTGGACTTAAGCTCGTCTGAAATTTATATCCTAGAGTATGCGACTGGTGTACACGGAATATTTTCTGTGAACCTTAGTCGTGCTAAATTTTTTAATCACTACAATCGACGATAAACTGATTTGCTTCCAGCTCATAAAGTGCCAGTGTTTCTGGGAACTCTTGGACCTTCGATACTTTCAAGTTATTTCCGAATTTATATTCGACATTCATTTATGTGTCTGCTTTCTCTTTTAGGTTACAAGGATTCATATAAGATTTAAGAAATATGGAACTACCGACTAACATAACCTTCACTTTGAAAAAACAAGGTAACTCCTAAACGACGTAAGGTCAGAAGTAATAATATTATATCCAAATGATTAGAACTGATTGACACATTTGGACAGCTTAAATGTCGCGGGTAAGAAAGCTTGCACACAGGAAATAAACATGAACATAAAACCCTCTTTTAGAAAACTCAGTCTCAACAACATTTTAAGAAATGCATCACTCCATCTTTCGGGGTAACAATTTGGGCCTTTTTAGACATAAAGTCAATCTCTCTGCTAGGACTCTACCAACAGAAATTGTTTGCTGTGGAATTCTTTCCCAATAATTATGAGGAAAATATTTCCTTTGACAGCGATAACTTTTGTGACTTCGCGTATGTAATGAGATAAGTGTCAAATTCATGAGCTTTTAACGAAAGGAAGTAAATACACAACTGAAGTAAAATTCTTTTCAAGAACTTCATGCTTCAATCTGATTCAATAGCTAATAGAAATAAAGCAAACGCAGTTTAACCCGTTACCCAACAATAGTGTACCTTTGTCTATTGTGACTTGACTAAAACATCAAATGTGGATCAATGTAAGTGTCTGAGCGCACCCACCCCTCCCTTAACCCAACAATAGTCAACTGATGACAAGTTAGAGTTAATGTTTGGTTAGGGGAGGGTTGGGTGCGTAGTTACACAGATATTGACATTGATCCACACGGATGCGATGAGCGAAATGAAATAAGTAACCGTGGAGAGCATATACACGCGTGTGAGAACATGTACACGCGTGTGAGAACTTGTACACTGCGTGTGTCACTTTAAAGATACTCTTTGTTTTCTTTTCTTATCTGTATGCTAAATTTTCTCGGCAAATTTCATACAAAAGGCACAAATGATTCGATTGTGTGAACCAATTTTTTTTATTATTATCTCATCACAATTAGGTAACAGCTCTTCCTCGGACCTGATAGATATATTCCGGTGGACCGAGCAGTTCGGCTTTTTGAATATTGCATACATCCTTCTTATAATGACGTCACTCTTTGGTAACTGTGCTTTAATTCACATCATTCGCACAAGACCCTTAATGAAAACAGCCACGAATTCTAGAGTGAAACTGATGTATCGATCAATTCTTAAAACTGCATCTAATATTTGAAGAGAAAGTCTACAATTGTTATCATTAAGCTATTGGGCATTCAAGAGACCTCCTGGAAATCTGGCTTTTCCCATGCACTAAACTTTTTGAGTAACATATTTCGCAGTAAAATGCAAAATAACAGATAGCAAGTTTCTAAACAAACCCATAAGCTCTTGCTCCAGAAAGTTTCACCTTAATCGAAGTCCCTAAATATCATTTTCCATTTGTTTAAATTCTCCAGCCTAAACACTCTTAAAGCTTACACATTACCACGGCCGAATCCTAGCCGTCAGATCTCACAAAAGTTCCTCAAGAGCTCTCCCATTCGTCAGAAGGCTGGTGAAAAACCTCACTCTTAAATACCTTTGGTAAGCTTTTCCATACAATTTTCCAGCTTACACGGTTTGGAAATCTAAAACATTAATACAGTCGAATCATAGCCGTCGGATCTCGTGAAAGTTTCTTGAGTTGTCTCTGGTTCGTCTGTTGGCTCGTTCGCGAGAAGACCGTTTAGAATGTCGTCGAAATCGTTGATTGTATCCTCAGCTTCTCTAGCATCTTCCATATTTTTAAGCTCCTTCACCTCCATAACCACGGCCTCTTCCTCGGATTTGTCCTCGACTCCATAAGGTTCATTGGGATAAGAAGATCGGGAAATGGTTGGAGCAGCGGCGAGACCGCCCAATTCTTCTTCGGGATTAAATCCAAACGACGGGGGCTTAGCGGGGATAAAATCCGGCGGTGGTGTAATGCCAGCGTCGATCTCCTCCAAGTTGTTATAAGGTTCGTCGTAGGAACTGTCCTGAGAACCTAACGAGATCTTTCTGCTGCGAAGTGTATACGGAGAGGGAGGGGCAGAGCCTGAATCTTGGATGGACAGCCCCTCAGTAGCGTTTGCCGGAGGTGGAAGTTCAAGACTAAGGTTGATCAGATCGTCATTCTTAACGGGTTCGGCCACTTCGCTACTATTTAGGTCGGAGACAATTGTTGCGCTCGAGACATTGCTCTCAGCAACACTTTTTGCATCATTTCTGTCCACTGAAGGATTCGATTCCTTTGATGCATCATCGCCATAACTGAAAGAGGCAAAAAATACAAGAAAAGATATACGACAGCTACCTCATGCCCAACCCCCCACCCCACCCCTCCGAAAAAAGGAACAGAGTAAAAATACATTTTATCTTAAATTTTGATTACTGTGATTGTTTGGAGAAATTGTAAGATGAAGATCAACGTTTTAACTCAAAAGGCGGTTGTACGAGATGGTTTGGAAGAGTTACCTGATTACACCATATCCTATTGACGAGGTTGAAAAGAAACGAGAAACTTCGAAAGGAGTTTTTGGCTTCGGAAACTATATAAAAAATTTCGCTTACAGCTGAAAATTCTTGCTTAATTTGTAACAGCGCTTCGAATATATCTTGCTAGAGCTTCGAAAGCTATATATGAGAGATACCTCAAATAAAGTTGCAAGTGTCGTTTCCGTTCGATGAACACTTCCGCTTACAACAACGGTCTCATTTTAGAGCATGTTCGGCAAATTTGAGCGGCCACAAATTCTAGCATAGAATGGCTTTGTTCTGTACTCATTCGAAATATGTATCTCTTAACAAGGCATGATCTCATTGTTAATATTCTAGTTTTCTAGTTTAACAAGCACCGTTATGTTGAAGTCATTAAGCGGAAGTCCTGAATGGCTTTCAGACACACACACAAAAAAAAAACACAGTCAAAAGACATCAAAGCCACCCATACATCGGTATGAACTTTCCATCAAACTATTACGACGAAAAAAAGCCTTGACTACAGGTTTCTTTGACCCTAATCTGGGTTTTGAAGGTGTAACTATTGAAACATCATGAGTAGCTGATCAGAGCTGCAAATAGTAATCCGTTTATAATATATTTAAAATAAAGCAAACAGTTGACCCGACCAATGCTCTCGAGAAAATTGTCTCTATTTTAAGCTTAAGAATAGCTATGCAAAACAATAGAATTACAAAACGAAAAATACACAAAGTGGTTAATGAACTTAGAAGCGCTTAGCAACGGAAGTCTGATACAGCATTCCGTGAACTATTCGATAATTGCACAGATTTGAAAAAGTAAATTAAACTTAAGCTAAGGATCGAATTTACACAACCTTTGGCAATTAAAGCTGCTATTTGGCCCATCCACAGGTTTTAATGTTTTATTTCTAGTGACCAGATGTGTGTAACCATGCGATACGGCCTACAGCTGTCTTGTAAATGTGACATTGGAAATGATAAATTAGCTAGTTTAATTTGTTTACTGGATAAGGAAACTTCGTTATTCAATAGTAAGGGGACAAGGTCCCATTCTCTACTCCAGCGAGTCGGCCGACCAATCACTGGTCAAAAACTTGGGAGACTGAGATGAGTTAACTAAGATCTAGTGAACGAAGTATCACGTCCGAATATTTGGTGATAGCACAAAGACAACATGAATTAGTTTAGGCATTAGCGGTGGTTACAACTCAGCACTTTTATGTTTATATTTTTGTTTGTGGGCATTTAATGATTATTAGTTAGCTCTCATTGTTGTTCGTCAGCGCAAACAATTAACGTCACTGCACGCGCAAATTACAACTAAAATAAAAACCGTGAGTGGAGAGTGAATTTAAGTGGGCTGTGTCGATTTGTGGCCAAGTGACGAACTCTTCAACAAGAGAACGAGAGTGGGAATGTGAAATGCACGCTAGTCTGTGAGCAGCGAGAACGTCCGTTTTAATTGTAAACACACATTTTCAGGGATTCAGCACTTTAAAAATAAATGATCACACAAAGCAAAAAAAGATGATTGAATAAAATGTGTCTGAATTGGCCGAGCCGCGCATCCACACTGATAACAAACATATTGATCACCGAGGTAGTGTCTCTAACAAGCCTGGTGGTTTCTTGGAGGACTCCTCGCCCTTCTATACTCTTAAATTTGTACAAATAGTAATTCTGATGATGCAAATTGTTTCTTGTTCCTCAAGATCTCTTTCTCTCCTTTTCTTCATTTCAACGGATTTTCAGGCAAGTTCCACAGTTCTAGATCAATTTTGACTTCATGAGAAGAAAACATGTTGACAAACAAAGTATGACAACACAAAAAAATGCGTACAAAGGCGAAAAAACCAAACATGACAACTACACACAATCACGAGGTGGATAATAAAGAACACCAGCCTTCAGCCACACTCGTTTATTCATTTTAAAGTTTCGTTCCTGCAAAATTAATATACTTCTGTATAAGATAAATTTAGAATCGCCTGTCTTGCACAGTAACTGAAGTTCAGCATATTTATTTACATCTGTGCTTAAAAATTCAATATTAAGAATTATATTTGTTTTTCATTAACTGGGCAGAGGTGTTCTGCCTTTCACTCGAAAAAGTCTGTGAGTAAAGTGGACTAAAAAAATATCCAATTTCTAGCTCATCCAATTAATAAAATCAACCTTTGATGAAGTTTAGCTTTACTAACAAAACTAAGAAGGAGAATTTGACAAAAATTTGTCAACAAAAACTGGCATCCGGATTGCGCTAAGTCTCAATAATGTCACGCTTTGAAAAAGTACCAAGAATATCTCACTAAAAATGACTTATTCATAAAACCACGAGTTTATTTATTATCATTATTATTATTATTATTTTTTTTTTTTGGGGGGGGGGTGCCGTTTTACTAAACAACTGTTAGAAAAGCTATAAACTTTTGCAATTGAGACAGCACCACAAAATGCATGCATTTAAGTATAAATCGCAAGAAAAGTTATACGAATTCTTTTTTTTTTCATGTCTGTTTAGGTACTTATTCTTAGTAAAATCTTGTTTAACTCTAATGTCAGGGAAGTTTGGAACAAACTTGTTGTTTCCGTTAAATCTGTAGTGCGCAACACTATTCGTATCGATGAATTACGCTTCATTTAGCCTTTTTTGCCAGCTAAGACATGGCTGACGAGTTGTGGAAAAAGGCGATACCACATACTGAATATTTCACAAGATGTCCCGGGAGAAAGCCCAAAAACACATGGTTTTCGGTTGACCTTGAATTTGAAGGACTCTTAAGCAAATTTTTGCGCTTTGGATGGCGAGATAACCCAAATGATACCTTTTCAACCACCCTTAAAAAGGTAACCTAAGGATCTCCTTGATGAATCTAAGTGGCAAAAGATACCCTCGGGACGGAAATAGAATATGAAGCTTGGCCTCAACAATGAACATTAACTGTACGAACACGCATTTCCGCGTTCGTCGTCCTTTCCTATCTTAACTAAATGACCACTTATTTCAACTTATTTCAACTTATTTCAACTTACAAATTAGTTCTTTCATCGTACACCACCACAGGATCATGAGTTGGCTCATCGTCCTGCCTGCCTGATTGGTTTTCCTGTGGAGAGCTGCCCACTTTACGAAACGTCTTCTTGACTTTCCCAGGCTTCGTAAACGAATCCGTCAATCTACCAGAAGCCTGTACGGTAGACTGGCTGCTCTCAGAATTACTACTTGACGGTGCTTTTTTATTACGGTATTTCTTTTTCTTGGTTAAGTCAGGTTTGGCGTATAACTCGTCAGGATTGAGAGGGGCCTTGTCCAAAGTCGATTTCTCGCCGCTGGCGGAAGCAAGACTCCTGTCAAGCTCCTCGTCTGAATCGTAACCCCTGTTCTCCATCTCTGAAATATCCCTGTTGGGGAAACTGTTCCGACTTCCTTCTCCGAGATCCAATCCCTCTCGCTCAGACGCTGGGTTGTAACCCTTATTTGTAAATGACTTACGACTTCCAGGAGAGTCAGAACCTCGCTCGTTAAATGAAGGTGAGCGAAAAGGTAGTGGGGGAGGGGGGCCAAAGCTGGAAACTCCACCTCCAAGAGCCTCAACGGTTGAATAACCGTCTTGGCTAATCATGGAGTCCTTGTGTGGTCGTGCACCTACCAGCTGCGCGCGATCTGATTTACGCGATGAGGAACGTTGCAGAGAGGAAAGATCGGGTTCTGCGTAGTCCGGATTCGGTGGTGGTGAAGGCGACGCGATGCTACTGCTAACCCAATCGGAATCAAAGGAATCGCTTGAGCCATCGGCGTCTGCTCCACTCGGCTCTTCAGTCACATCAAGAACAGCGTTACCGTGGAAACCATGCCTAATGAGGGATGAAGGCAAATTAAGTTGAGTTGAGGGCTTCAGCATCATTGAGTCCAAATGAAGTGAACGAAGTTAGAGCGAAGTTATATCTAACAGTATAGAAAAAATTTGAATTGAACCCAACATTCACACTTAGTTTGTGAATGTTTGTTTGAGGCTGCATTTACTTTGTTTTTCCTATTTATAAGATTTTACAGTCAATTTTAGCTATAAAGTATTATTTGGCGCTTGTTATCAAGGCCCACTGTTAAAAGTTTTTTAATTGCTTTATTTCGCTGGCTACTCCCCTTGAAATACTACAACACGATATCACTAAGAAGAAAGTCTCGATTGTTTGATCATTTCCTTCTACAATTCCTTAATCGCTTTTGAGAGGAAATAAGATCACACCTGCCCAAGACCGTTATTCCAAAGCAGATAATTTAACTTGAACCCAACGATTTAATAAAACAACTATGATGTAACGGATTTATTTTTGAAGAGATCATTGAATTTCATATGTAATTTAATCAATTTTTAGTACGTTAAAATACCACTGGCAGCATCAGTAGATCACAGAATGAGTCATCGATGCAATAAAGATTAATTTAATTTTACGATAATGGATTAACAAAACTAATAGCACTGCAACTAACATGTAAAAAGAAAACTCAATCGATTATTCAATAACTAAAAACATCGTTTGTCATATGATGTTAGACTCCTCCAGTTTTTCTATCAATGCAGAGGACTAAAATATTGTATCATTAATAACTTCATTGGGCCTTGTTCTTCATTTCTATCGGCGTAGTTTATCGATTAAGTTACATTTACCGTTTACGTTGATCGAGGAACACAAAAGGATCCCACCATCCTGTAGTGACCTGTGCCATCTAAAGCACTTCACAATCAACGGAAAAAATTGTCAGCTCAGGTTAAGTTATGAATAGGGTTTAAATAGGGAAACTGCAGTATGCAGAGAATAACTATTTAGGATTTATGAAATAAAAATTTAGACTTTTCTCTGAATCAATCGCTAATCAATCACATTGGTAAAAATTAAAAGCATACCGAGTTTTTCAAGTTTTATCTTTCTTTAAGACTTAACATGTTACTGTGGAAGGAGACTGGAGTTTTTATAAATTTTGATGTAAACGGGGTATGTTGTTCTTTTTTTTTACTGATAGGCAGCCCATTACATCTTTCAACAACAGAACAACTCACATGTTTATAACACAACAGGGGAAAAACAGTGATTGACTGTCAACCAATCCCCTTCCATGTTTTGTCCCAAGCTTGTGGCAAAATGAAATTCGACTTTCTTTTATCCTTCAAAACAAGCTTCCAGCTTCAAGCGTCAGGTGAGCAAAGGAAAGCGCTAGCCTGGTTCGAGGGAAATGACCATAATGACCATATCCCGCAATGCGCTATTGTTTTTCAGTACTCTCATTACATTCCTGAGTAGCGGTGTATTGAAATGTGCCGAGATCATATCTATTGATCATTCCTGAGAGTATAGTCATGTAAGGTGACAGGTTATGAAAGAGATGACCTCACTTCAAAGGATTGTATAGGCAGGTCATGTGATGGCGCTTGGATTGGTTGATTTCGACCGTTGCAGTTTGTTAGATTTTATTTCTTAACCCTTAAACTCCCATGAGTGTCCAAAGCAGAATTTATCCTCACAATATCAGCAAAAATCGAGGAGAATAGTGATTGAAATAGAGAAAAATATCAAAGATGGATGTGTTAGTAGCTTTAATTCCAAATTCTCAAAACTAACATCAGAAAAAGTTGTATGGCAGACAGTGCGGAGGATTACGAGTAAAAGGGTTTAGATGTCCGTTTGATTTAATTTCGTTGTAACAGCAATTGGTATAAATGATTCGAATCACATGTATTGAAGAGTTTGCGTATTGTTGAAAGGGTGCAAGCGATTGACTGTATATCTCATTTCAGTTCTTAGGAACTTGCCCAGATGAGCTGTCATGTGTGAGATTACAAATCCTCACCTGTTCATTTCGTAATCACTATTGAAACCATGTAATTTTCTTGATCTTTTGTATCCACCACCATCTGGAGAAAGAGCAGAGAATCGAAGTGTAATCAATGCACTACAGTCTAACCAGTCCGCAGTCAAGTATGGACGACACGAAATATACAGTGTATCTCTTACACGAGAAATAAAATGAGAACTTAACGCAGAATAACAAGCACCAAGTGCCGGAAGGGAATCCATTTCACCGACTATCAAAAATAATTCTGGATAAAAATGGTATTGCTTTCATGCACTCGGTGATTGTGCAAATTCACGGCATGGAAAAAGTACCAATTTCACGCGAAGTGAGCGGCTGCTGGAAATCGTGTATCTTGTTGCCGCAACTTGTCGCCGAGCATGTATCGACCTTAAACAAAGGCGATTTGACCACCGTGGTGAAATTTTAAGTTTAGAGCTTCATTTTCTCGCCTCACCTCTGTTTTCTCTCCATCGCCGGAAAACCAGAAAGTAAACGGCTGCTATTATAAGAAATGCAACTATTAGCGACACACAAACGATTATGACGATCATCTGCTCCTGGTTTAGTTCGCCGGTTCTCCTCTCTGTCACAGGAGGGGCCACCACCGTTGTCTCTGTTCCCTTAGTAGGAGTAACCTGTGGTTCTGTGGGAAGGAGAGTCACTGGAGGAGGAACACCTGCAATATTAAGTTCAATCCATCAGGATTTATTGTACTGGTTTCGATGGTGAAAAGACAAGCAATTATTGTAAATGATACCCATCTCCGTCTGCCAAAAGCATTCATTCTGTAAGCAGTGTTAAACAAAACTTAACATAGGAAATAATAAAGATCGATGGGTCTTGTCTCGCGCCAAATTTCCAACTCTAGACTGAAGAACAGAGCGAGAATCGATAACAAAATAAAGTTTTGAGAGATTTAAAACTGTGTCTAGTCCTAATTAGTATCTGTCTGTTAGGAGGCGCACCAGTTTTCCAAAGAAAGTTCTAAAGAGCTATCACCAGTTCCTAAGAGAGCCAGTCGAAAGATTTCAGTAAAACTGCGTCAGCTGAGGAACAGAGGTCATTCCTATTTAATCCTATGGTTCCATGAGTTACCTGTTGTGACATGAACAATCATTCCTTGTTCGCCAGCCCCTTGGCCCGTTCTTGCCGTTACGTAAATGTAATAGGTCGTGTTCGCTGACAAGTTCTTGATATCAGCTGTAGTCAAACTTCCACCTGTTGTCAGGATGCGTGTCGCGTTATTGTCAAGAGATCTGTAGGTGATCCTGTACTCTATAATTTCGCCATTGGGCCTTACAGGGGGATGCCAAGTTATTGTTATAGTGTTGTGACTCACAGATACCACGGTCACGTTACCGACTGTGCCTGGAACTAAACAGCAAAACAATATTACAATAAAATAATATTACAAACCGATAACCAAAAACAACAAAAACGATAAAAAAGGTAGCATACAACACATTGGCAAAACATTTATACATATTTTGATATAGAAAATAGGGTGAAGAACATTCAAATTGTTAAGTCACAATTGACACAGTTAAAAAGGTCAAGAAGTACAAACTGGTCAAGAGTCTTACCTCCTTCTTGTGTGACTGCTGTTTTCACTTCGCTTGTGGTGCCCAGTCCTGCGCTGGTGAAAGCTGCTGCTTGAATAGAATACTCTGTAAACACTGAAAGGTTGGTCAATGTTACAGGGGATGAGGTTGTATTTACAGACAGATAATCAGCCTCCGTTAGGCTGGTCAGCCTGTACAACACAGTGTAACCACGGATGACGCCATTTCGTGCTGGAGGAAGAGGCTGAGCTATGTACACCATGATGCTGTGCTGGCTGACGGAATCCAAAGTCACATTCGATGGCGGACCAGGTGCTGAAAACAAACAAACAAGCGAAGAAGCAAATCGATATGATATCAATTTACACATTATAAATTGGTCATCTGTGGAAAATTAAACAAATACTTTAGAAAATCAACGAACTTCGCATACATCGTGATAAACTTACCCGAAAAAATAGATTAACAAATTAATTATAACCGTGTATTCCACGCTGCTAAAAACATAGTTACGATTCAATAGAGTGTACATGTAAGTTAATAAAGATCTCAACCGATGGTAGAAAGACCAGTTTCGCGTTGGGACTACCGAGAAATAATTCCAGTCGTTAAAAAGGGGGGGGGGGGGGGGGGAGTGAGAAAGGAATTTATGTGTGGGTTTCCAGATTTCAAACAGACATGCCAACTTCACAAAAACGTTAGGCCTGTGACTAATGGCCTTTAACTCAGAACGTTAAGATCTGTCAACGTTTAACTTGATGGCCTATTCCAGGTATTCAGTGAGTAAAACAAAGCGGGAGAGTAGGGGCAGAGTGAAAAATGAGGGAGATCGACAGCCAATGTCAAGTCTCGGTGAAACACATATTTTCCTCTAAATGCTGAGAGTTCCCTTAAAACTAAACGAACCTCACCTCTGAAAGGTCTCGCGTTAAAAAAAATTGATACTAAATCTCGCACACATTTAAAGCTATAAAACTCACCAGCTTCTAAAGTCCGAACTTGTTTAACAGGGCTCTTTGGTCCGGAGTCAACCGTGTAGGCCTGGACAGTGACGTTATAAAATGTCCATGGGTGAAGTCCTTGAATTGTAAAATTCAGTGATGAATTTGTGGAGTATTTCAATCCATCATTATGAAAATTGTAAGGACCCGCTGCCTTTGCAATCACGATGTGTTCTCTGATGATGCCGTTGGATAGTTCGGAAGGAATACTCTGCAATGAAGAAAAGGGTGAAAAGATGTATATCTTGTTAGACCTTAACGTGTATGATATTTTCCCCGCACGTCTTCATCTTGCTACCAAATCTCATCCTTTTAACAATTCTTTGAGCGCTCCATACAAGAGTAAACCTCCTGCGAGTTTCATTTGAGAGAACGAAACGCTTCTCTTACTTGACAGACAACAGAACGATGTTTACAACGGCATGGTCCATTGGCGTTCTAATCGCTGAGACAATCATCTGAATAGGGGCCCCATAAGGAAGTAAAACGCCCTGCTCATGCTACGCACAATGATCCTTACCCAGAGCCCAACTCAATAACAAGAAGGCCAACCAATGTTTTGAATTTGCAGTTGCCTTGGGGTTCTTGGATAATATAATTAACTTTAAAGAAATGACAGAAAAAAAAAACAATAAGCCAATCAATTCACCTTCCACGTAACGAGAATGGCCTCAGCAGACAAAGCTGTTAGTTGAATGTCTTGAGGAGATGCAGCTGGAGCTAAAACAAAAACAGAGAATTCAGCCTGATCAAAATAACACCTTCCAAAAACTCTCTTGACTTTGATCGGACTTTTGAAGAAACACGGAATCATGGAAACCCTATGAATGATAGGGGTTGATTGGTTGAACTCATAGCACGCTTAACCCTTTAACTCCCAGATCAAATTTGTAATTCTCCTTACTGTCAACCATACAATTCTTATAATGTTGGTTCAGAGAATTTAGTATTGGATCAACTAATTATCCCCAAATTGATATTTTTCTTTATTCTCATCACTTATCTGGTTGATGTTGTATTGCTATTGTAAGGAGAAATTCTGTCTTAGTCACTCATGAGAGTAAAAGGGTTAAATAAACCAAACTTTAGCCTGTACCAAACTCAACTCAGCAACGACCAGAAATTGAAATTTAAAGGAAAAAAATTCCAAAATTTATTCGAGCTCATTTTTCAATGTGGAGACTCGTCGGAAAACGAAGTAACTACAACAGACTTCAAATAAGACTGGATTCGATAAGAGTCACCACACAGAAAAATTCACTCCGATAAGTTCCCATAGCTATGTGCAACCTATTACCTTTGGTCACTGGCACCTACAGACTTCTCCCTCAGTTATGATGTTAAGATTTTGGTGCGAAGAATCTATCTATTTATAGATGTATTTATTCATTATTTGCGACACCTAGACAGGCCGGCCCAGTTCAGCTTAAGGAGGCCATTTTAAACAAATATTAGGCCACACCACAACACCGGGAGCTAGGTTCCCTTAACTTCGCGAGAAATACGTGGGTTCTTAGACGTCCCCTGCTAGTCAGTGGAGAGAAGATGCAGGAGACGGAGCCTACGTTTTATCGTCGTTATCCGAGAAGACTAGAACGTCTAACTACTTGCGGTCAAGTGTTAGTATAAACTAACCTGCTTCATCCGTAGTCGCTTTAGTAATCGCTGAAAAGTTTCCCCACATAACATTCCTTTCCTCAGTGGCGGCACGAACTTTAAACTGGTAACGAGTAAATGGTTTCAAACCGACAATCATGGCCTGAAGCACCGGCAGCTGATTGGCGAGTAGCATTATGCTGGTGAGGTTACTCTTTTCAACAACATTGTAATGAATTTCATAGCGTGTGATCTGACCGTTAGGTGTGGTTGGTAGGTCCCAGGTGATGGTCATAGTTGTCGCATTTAAGGCTACCGCAGAAACGTTGGTAGGTGGCGAAGGAGCTGAAATGTCAAAAGTAATTACTCTGTTGTTTAATTCTCTCAAAAAAAAAAAAAAAAAAAAAAGAATAGAAAGTACTCTTACAATTGTGGTAAAGAAGCCTGAAACGTTATTTCTGCATGAGATTCTGTTGCTTTATAAAGACAAGATCTCGACTATGACCTAGAACTTGCTAGCTTAGTACAACTGGTCAACGCCCATATGAGCTGAGAGGCAGTGAAGCATAGAAAATATCAAGTCTTTTTTTGCATATGGCATAATTATTGTGAAGCAGAGTTCTGCAACACGCCGAGCTATCCACAAACGCTTCACTCCTGAAGGCAGGCGGTTAACTTTCCAACTTACCATCTTGTAAGGTTTTGTTCGTAATATTGGCCCCGTTACCCAAACCAGCGGCATTACGAGCAGAAATCCTAAAGGTGTACGAGGTGAATGGACGAAGATTCGTCACAGTATATGACATGGCAGAGATGACCTCTTGTATGACGACGTAGCTTTCAGACTCTCTCCTCATTTCCAGCTTATAACTGGTAATTGGACTGTGCCCATCAAAAACGGGTTGCCATGACAACTGAATGGCAGAGGAGGATACCGGGATGGCAGAGATTGGAAATGGAGGACTGGGAGCCACTATTTATAGAAAAAAAGTTGACAATAAACATTTGTACCGTACGAAAACTGTTTTAGGAGAAGAATTGACCTTAAAAGGTTACTGAAGGATAGAGTCTTAGGTAATTTGAAGATGGTGTGCAACGTAAAAGAGAGAGAACTCGAAAATTTATTTTAAATTGATCACGGATGAATGTTATTTCATTATTTACAGTATATATAACTGTTCTTGTGGGTGTCTGTTCCATAACCTGAGCAGAGGATATTATCAGGCACAAGAGCAAGGGGAATATGGTTCGTGAAAGTTTCAATCGGCCAGTGAAGTGAACGTCATTTTGAACGATACTATTGTTCTTTTAACCTTTTGAACCCTGGCATCAGTTTGCATATTCACCATACTGTTCTCTGTGCATTTCATAAGGTGCTGAAAAGGATACTTTTTTTAATAATAAAGAGTTTTTTTGCAATGGTGATCATTTCCTTTCTAATTCCTCCTAAAGAGGAATTAGATACTAGTCACTCTTAGGGATTAAAGTATTAATACATAAAGTAAAAAATGTAGTAGGTACCGAGCAGTGGTTGTTCACATCTGTTTGAATATGTTCAGAAAGCACCAACTCGGAGCAATCTGAATATCACACAGAACTTAAATATCTTGAAATGATCTTTGCTCTGAGCCATAACCGTCAACTAACCTTGAACAGTTAGATTTCCATGCTTTGATACCCTTCCCGCTGCGTTAGATGCGGTGCAAGTATATACTCCAATGTCAGCTTCGCGAATGCTTCCAATCACAAACAAGCTGCTAGACGAGGACAATAACTGGCCGTTCTTGTACCACGTAATACTTGGTTTAGGCGTACCTCTCACAGAACAGTTTAGTACAGCGCTCGCACCGAGTTTTACCAGTCGAGGTACGTAAAATAATGTTATATTTGGTGGGACTGTAAAGAAAAAACAGATGCTTTACATCAGAGACTTAATTGGCTGAGCTGGTCCTGCATCGAGTCACGACGGCAGTCATTGTGGACAGCTCCCCACCAAATCTAAACGAGTACCTGTAAAATGTCTGAGAAACCTGACCTAAACCTAAGTAGTATTTTATCGCTATTTCCTGGAAGAGTAACAATACCTCTGTCGCTTCATAACACACACACTGGGGTAAGCTCTGGCCGCCACACTAGTCAGTCTCTCAAGCAGAATTTACCCGGCAAGATATGAAAGCAGGAAAACTGCCGCGTCTGAGAGGCAGCGCAGCCGCAGGCAAAGAAACTTGTACATGAGTGAGAAAATTTTGGTTTTTATGGATTGTGTGCATCATCCATTACAAGGAAAAATAGTGTTACAAATTCATTGGTCCACGGAGACAAAGATTTAAAATAAAAATCGTCTTGTAAGACTTTCGGCTTCTCATCAAATCAACAGATTTTCGAAATAGGTGCTTTTATGTCTTTCACTCCCAAAGAGGAATTTGTTCTTACAACATTAATACAATTTCACGGAGAGAGGTGGTGAGAAAAAAGGAAATATCCACCTATAATATTGTTCGATTTAACGGCAAAGTCTTTGAACTTAATTAACAAGATGTGTTAGCTAGACAGTGTAGAGAATTTGGTCTAGATCTTAGGAGTGAAAGTGTTAACGTTTTTACGCAAGAACACGATATTTATAAGTAACGATCTTTTCACTAAGGCTCAGCTTCTTCAAATGCCTGTTGATGAACACGGAAAAAATTATATTAAGTACTCAATAAACTAATTTAAATCGATATCAACCCACCTTGAACGAGCAAATGGGTAGTTCCCACATGTGAATTCAATCCATTGCTAACATTACAGCTGTACTGCCCAGAATCACTGGCGACCGTACTCACAATCGTTAAACTGTCTTCACCAATCGCAATCCTTGCTCCTGGGGTCAACTGGGTTCCACCTTTAAACCACGTAACTACTGGTTTGGGATCACCAGATGCATTACACCGGAATGAGGCTGGAGAGGACTCATTCACGGTTATATTCATTGGGTTCATATCGAGTCTAGCGGGAACTGAATGAAAACAAAAGAAATGTCTTCAAAATTGGCTAAAGCGCGGGAAAACATGTCTGGTAGAGAGCAAGCCGCGGTTCACTTGTAGAATTGCAAATGATTGGTTGAGAGGGTGGCTGAAGTTTTGTGGACCAATCAAAGAACGGCATAGAGCAAAGCTAAATGAGTCCTAAAGAGGGCAAGTTATTATACAAAACTGTGGTGCTGTGCCGGTGGCTGTTACTAGAAAATTTCGTTTAAGTAACTCAAGCGATAATATAAATTGGTCACCAAGAGTACTTCGTTAGAGCTCTGACGAAGGGCCAACGCTCGAACGTCAGCTTTAGAGAGTCTCTACAGTGGCCAATTTGCATTATTAAGTCAGTCCCAGATTACTTTCAACACCATCATATTGAAGAGTGCTGTGATTTCTTAATATTTTCGAGGTTAACACGCTAGGTACCTCTCACTGTTAAATAGGCCGATGCTTCCAAACTTCCAGCAACGTTTTCAGCTCGACAAATGTATCTTCCTTCGTCTTTCTTCGTTATCTGCTTGATTTCAAGGGATCGGGTCAAAATATCGTAATGATTTGTTTGATTGATTCGAACCATAGACCCTTCAGATTTGTAGAACCACTGAATGCTCGGGTTTGGAATTCCACTGAACGTGCACGTAAACTTCACGATATCTCCCACTGTCTTTGTAGCGTTTTCTGGCGGCGAGACCAGTGAAGGCGGAACTAAGAGAAGAGAGATTAAAACTAAATAAAGGCTTGTCCACTTGCCAAAAATAATTGTGGTTACTACCAATTCGTTTGAACCTTCTTCATCTTAGAAGTAGACATATACTGTACCAAGTGGGTAATTTTAACATCTCCTATTAAAAAGTGTACATGAAATTATTACACGGATTGCGTCTTGAGTTACCAGTTGAAAGTATTTTGTGGTTTTGTTTCTTTAGTATTATCTGACATGGTAACTTAATACTGTCATGTAATGCTGAAGCATTCAAAAAGCTTGACCCACTCATCAGACAAGTACAAGTACATGCATGTGTTTTCGTTGAGAGAGAGGCTTTCTCTCTGCCTCTCAACTGGACCAGTAAGTAAGACCTTGGAGATAAATTGTCCCCTGGCTCAAATTTAAGGGGGGAGGAAATGCTTCTGTATCCACTGTCTTTTCAAAACCAGAAGCAATTAATTCTATCCTTAACCTTTAACTTTGTTTCTCATTTTAAATGTGACTCAGACTGTCTTAGCTTTGCCTAATTAAAATAATATAATTTTCTCACCATAAATGGCGACAACAGCAGTCACACTGACAGAACCTGCAACATTGTTTGCAATACATCTAAATGTCCCAGCATCCTGCTTAACAGCACTAGAAATGAACAAGCTGCCATTGGACAGAAGCGTCACATGATTATTCTGCACAGCCTGACCATCTTTCTGCCAGGTTAAACTTGGCATTGGATCACCTTTGGCCTGGCAGTGTAACATAAGTGGAGAACCTTGTGTGACGTTGGTATTACTGGGCCGAACTTGAAAAGATGGTGGTACTGAAATAAATTGAGATAGATCTGGGTAAGTTTAAAAGTCACGAGTCCTATTTTAGTGGAAGAAAGACATAAAATGTTTGTGTGCTAAAGACAAGTTGCCCAGAGGTACTGTGGTATGTAGCCTGACTACAACCAACAAGCACAGGTGGCAATCCTATGTGGAAATTTTAAGACAGCCCCATCTTGCCACTTCATATAGACCTCTTTTATAAATGGTGGCCCCAAATTTTCATTTCACAATCTATGAATGCAAATCAGCCCTCCAAATGTCCAAACACAGCACAACTTTCATTCAAAAGCAAAGCAAAAATAGGCAGCAGGACAGGCATAATTCTTTCTGTTTTTCAGGTGAACAAAGATAAGTGTTAAGCAAATGCAAGTCACATGCAAGAGTTTTTTTTGGTGCTTCTCCCACAGCGTGAGACTCACACTTGCCTCCATTTGCCTGAAAAGTACCAAAAAGAATTTCACCTGTTCTGCATGCTAAGTAAAGAATGTTTATTGGCAATTGTTCACTAAAAGGATAATGATCATACCTGGCATTGATGTCAATCATTGCATAAAGAAAGCAAGACTGACCCTTTTAACACATTTCTTAAGTTACTCACCATACACAGCAACAAAGGCCACAGAGGATGTTCTTGTGGCACGAAGGACAGAATTTGTTGCATCACAGAAATAACTCCCTTCATCAGACTTTGCTATGGAAGTAAAAGTTATTGTGCCTGAATTGTCAATAGTAATTCTGCTGCCAGGTGTAATCAGCTGATAGTTGTGAAACCAATTAATTGTGACCTGAACAGGAAAACTGAAAGGAGGAACACAGGACATGCTGACCGCATCACCAACAACAGCTGTCTGATTGGTTGGGTTCTCACGAAAATTGAATTCAAAGTCTGAAAATGAAGAAAATAAATATTCATTGCCTTTTCTTTTGTAACACTTAAATGCTTAAGATTTAGAGTTTAATTCTAAATACACTACCATATATCATTTTTGTACTTAGGTAAGCACAAGGTGATGATTTAATTGCCAGTTTCATTCTCTGGTTTACTCATTTGTGTTTAAAAGTTTATTAACCATTAACAAACTGATAAAACCTTAAATAGATATGGTTATTAAGTATTCAGTCAACTTACATGCCACTCTGAAAAACACAGGAAAATTTGAGACTGATCCAGCTTTATTTGTCCCATTACACACATACTGCCCAGCATAAGAGTTCTTCACTGGAGGAGCAAAGTAAAGTGAGCCATTACCAAGCATGTACCGGTCAGACACATTGTTCACAGGCTGACCATTCATTGTCCAGGATATCACAGGTGGGGGAACACCAAGAATTTGACACTGAAGAATGGATGGAAGGTGCTCAGGTACAATCATATTTGTTGGACGAATACCAAAGTGAGGCTTGTCTTGAGCAGCTGCAAAAAGCCAAACACAGACTGGTTTAACAGTAACACAAAATAATATTTAAATAATGCATTTTTCATTAAACCTTAGCCACTGACAGTAATTCTGTGCACACTGGGTCGGTTAAAATCACCAAGTCACTGTGTTGAATGCACACCAATGTGTTTAATTAAGGCATAATTTCATATTAAAACAAAAAGGTAATAATTTGTGATGTGTGTGTGTATGAGGCTGCATAAGAGACAAAAGCACAAAACTTCACCAGTTTCCTGAAGGGTTCTGTTCTAACTTGTGAAGCTCAAAATTACATGTATCAAATAGATATTAGTCCTGTCTCTTCCTTTAGCCTGTCTATTACACATGTCTTAAAGCTCAATTGCTGCACAAGATTGGAATATTAATTTTAAGATAAGTTCACATGCCTTAATGATTAAATTAGAGAATTTAACCTCTATTTGACAGCAAAACAACAAACAGCTGTACTTGTACTAAAATGATGTCAATTCAAAGCCATCAACTCAAGCTGTAGCTGAGAAAACGATCTATAAGATTGACCATAAAGCCTGACAACCAACACTGTCTACTATAGCTAAATGTAAATTCATCCATGTCAAACTTGAAAATCCTGCCTTTAAGTATTCATCCACCACCAAAAATAAATGTACTTACGAAGTACAGTTAAATAAGCCTTCTTGCTGTACTGTGGCAGACTGGGTAACAAAGGATTTACAGCCACACAACCATACCATCCTGCACTTGAGAATGTTACATTCCTCACTGACAGGGCTAATGATGTGGCCTTTGTGCTAGGAATTTGAAATGGACCTGTTACTTCACCACCAGTAAAGGCCTTTCCATCTTTCTGCCAGTGAATGGTTGAATAGGGTAGACTTTCTGCAATAACACAGTCAAATGTTGCATCCTCTCCCAATCTTTTTGTTAGATTATGTGGATTTGTGAGGTACTGTGGTTTGATGTCTGTAAATTGAAAAGTCATATTAACACACATGAAGCTGTAATTAAGTACTATTACCGTTAATAAATGGCATGGAAAAACAAAAAGAGAAGGAGATAAGGAAAAGAAAATTCTGCACACAACAAATTAAATACTTACATGCTGCTTGAACAGTTGCTTTTCTACTGTAAGTGACTATGGATGTGCCTTGAACTGAAGCTCCACAGACAAAAGTGCCAGTACTATTAGCAGGAAAGCTGCTATAGTACAAAGACTGATTTGCTAACTGGGTCCAAGGTGCATTCTTGGGATCCAACAGCCATTGGTTATTATTTTTCCAAGATATCACTACATTTCCAGATCTACTGTATTTGGCCTGGCAGTTGAGGAGAAGGGGCTGTCCTACAGCTACAACATGGTCTGATGGCTCTATTGTGAAAACTGAAAAAAAAAAAAAGGATTTTAGTGCTTCTTCCTTAAGGATTATGTTATCAGCATAAGCACCCCTCTCTCTTTAATAGATCAAAATTTTTTTCAAAATGCATTAAATTCATAATAACTCTAGGTTAATTGTAGACCAACAATAAACATTCAGATAAAAAGAAAACTTCCAACTTGATTATCCTACCAAAAGTAATCATAAAAATGTGCTCCTCAGTAAACAACAGAGCTTAGCAATGTGTATCAAGTTTTGTTTGCAACATATCTAAAAATATAGAACAATTATTAAACAGCAACTACATGTGAGTTTTGCGATGTTTTCATTTAAATGAACATCACTATGCAGATTATCAGAAAATAATATACATGTACTTGTCCCATGGATAACTCATGTCGAAGATTTACTTGTCCAAGATAAATTATGCTTGTTCTGCACAATCCTAAGAATGTTTTGGTTCACCCTGTCAAATGTTTACTGCCATGGGAAATAAATTTGAATTCTTCATGACTGTGCTGAGCAACTTAGCTCTGGTGACCTATGGTGAGAGAGTACAGTACAAATGGAATTCTTGGAATCATAGAAATTGTAATCATAAAGCACTCTCTTTTTGGTGTTGTTCATAAACATTCCTGGTCATACATTCAACAATTGTCTTTTGAAATCACTAGAATATCACACTTCAGATCAACTATATACTTTTCCAGTATTTATTATCCAACTGCACAAAGTAGAGTGCAAGTAATGCATGAATAGAATACAAATATCATGTAATATTGTGCAGTTGGTTAGTTTGTACTGTAAAAGAACCTGTCTATCAGGTTGGCTGCTTAAGTCACACTTAAATATACACTTAAACTGAGAAATGATTAGGAACACTTTCCAGAAAAATAGAAGTTGGATAATAAATAACTTATTAGCTGTTTGGGTGGGTAGTATTGCTTAGTATTTTCACTTGTTTTTTGTATTTTGACAGCATACGGGCTTGTCAAATATGGCACAACTCATAAAAATACTAAGCAATACTACAAACCAAAATTTTTAACAAGACATATATATATATATATGTATATTTCATGTCCAAATTGAGCACTCTACTAGGATGAGTCATTGCTGCTAGCATTATGCATGCTCACTAGTTTTTCTAGTTTGAGCACTCTGGCATGGCTTAGATGATCCCACATATGTGAGATCACTTGGGGTGGCTATATGGTCTTACCTCCATCCTAGCATCAGCACTGCACTGATGAGGCCCAGAAGGCCGAAACAGTACTGTCTGCAGTTAGTTATATATATATATGTATATGTATATATATATTTTTTAAGCTGCTGTAATCAATATGCCTCAAATATTATCATCATCAATAGGACTCTCTCCTTTCACCATATAGGGAAATCATTGATTCATTTTTCCCCACTAATTATCAACATACAACAACAGAGAGATCTGAGAAGTCATTGACAGCATCACTTTCTCCACCATAATAGTTTGTTTCTACTTTTTGTATCTGTCCCTTGTGCAATTCAGTAGGATAATAACAAGAAGGTGAGAGTGCTTCTCATTTAAAAGATCAACTTAGATCAACATGTGAAAGTTGAATAAATTGTCATTTGGCCATTAAGTTTGTTTCCATAGCATTTTCAGATCCAACCACTAAGGAAGATACAATTTTCTGTTACTCAGGTCAGGGGTAGTTTTACAAAACCCTACTTTTTGGAGAAAGAATGTAAATAATGTTTTAAATTTATTATTTCTTTCGGAGAAATGTCTACTTTCCTTCTCCCCAACAATATACTTTGTTGAAAATACCACAGTAAGAAACAGCTTTTCTAATCAAAGATATTGATCTCTCAGGGACATTTGCTGAGGACTTAATTTCAAAATACACAACTCACTGTAATCAATAGTACCACTTCTAGAGAAAACTCGTAGTGAAGTTTGGTAAATAAACTCAGTTTTGTGAACTTTGTGATACAAAAAAAAAAACAAACTTTTTTTTCCTCAAATGTATATGAAGTAAGCGAAACTCATATAATCTCCCTTGATATCAAGACATTAAACTATGCGACGGTCGAAAACGGAATATATGACGAAACAAGTCAAACAATCTCAAGTATCACTAACTTCTTCATCGCAATAATCATTAAAACTATCATAACGTAAATCTGAGTTGTAAACTTTTACTCACTCAAACTTGCATATGCTGGAAGTATAGCATTGAAAATCGTTGCGATCACCACAGCGCTAATGAAGGAATTATAACCCATTTCAAAGAGACATGCACAGCGAGGGAGAATAATTATAAATCGTTGATCCCTGGATACATCATGTTTGGAATTTGCTGATCCTTAGGACTTGTGCAGCATGATTTTTTACTTCTTCGCAGGTTAAGAGATTCCACTAAAGCATCATTAGGGCTAAATTAGAGAAAGGTTTCTCTAGGTTGCCTTGGAGAAGAAAGAATTTTCCGCAGCATGAATTTCAATGTTTATAGGTTCCTCGGGGTAAGACGCCAGAGGTGATTAGCAACGAAACGCCTGCGATATTGAGTACAGTGGTTTTATTATGAGAACTTCCCATTTGATCTTCACCGATGAAGTACAGAAACTGTGTCGGTACGGGTTCGGTGTTCGGCTTTATTTCGGTTTTGATTCGGTTTCTTATGAAAGCGGAAGGGTGTAAAATATGACAATTCGCAATTTTCAAAAGCAAGAGCGGGTTAGCCAAAATAAGAGGATAATTTTTTACTCATATAGGTAGCGCCTTAAAAAAGAAAAACTGTTTCAGTTTACGTTGTTCCTGTTCATCGATTTCTGGAAGCTAGTCATCATAAGTACTTTTCTCTTTAAAGAAAAATTAAAATTTAAAATTAATTTTTTTTCAGAATTCGGGCATCGACGGATGTAAAAGTAACTTCATGGCGGTAACCTGGGGGCAATGAGGTGATAAGTGGAAAAATGCTAATCTTTATCGGTAGAAAATTGTCAGTGGGCGAAGACCGTGAAGATTATCCAAGCTCCAAGACCATAAAATGCATATACAGCTTGAAAATTGGACTATCTATTTTTCCAAAACTCTTAAATCATTCAGTTGAAGATGTATAGTAATTTTATGGAGCACTTGGCTAAATTACGTATAGGAAGGGGGAAGGAAAGCTATCTATGCGTTAAATCTAAAATGCGAGTTAATTTAAGTCAGTTAATGCACAAGTAGAATTGCATTAACATAAGTCCTAAAGATTACTGTTACCTTTGGTAGATAACCCGTGGAACCTAATGACATCGGAATAGAATGGAAAGCCGGAATATATGTTTACACGCTCCACAAAGTACGCAATCAATGTACGATATTATGACGCCCGACGGCTCATAGGTACACACGACATTAAAAGGGATATCCCTGACGTATAACTCATTATAAACACTAAGAGTTCAAGTTTCTTAAAACACTTCTAATATACTGATTGGCTGATATTGGGCGTCGGTAATTTTCATACAAGAGAAAAAACCGTCGAGAACCGTCTCTCTGTTTCGTCAAAGGAATGCCGCGGATAGCTTGATTGGAATCAGCGAAACTCCAACGGTTCTCTCATTCGTTAAAGTTATGTCTAGCTCTTGTCATTTGTTTATTTTCATGTTTTGCCGATTAATTAAAGTTTAAGTTTTAATTTTTTAGGTCTCGTGATCTTCTCCCGTTGACGAACGGCAATTAGGAGTAAATAGATAACCCCAAAAAGTTTGTTACGTTATTTACATACCTTTTCTAATACTCCGGCTATGGGCATTTTAATTAGGTTTGCAAAAATAGTTCTAAACGGGCTAGTCTGGAATTTATGAAAGACCTTAATCCAGCCTTATGTGAAATTATCATAAATTGATGTCGGAGACGTGACAGAAGTGGTGTTCTAGTTTGTTCAACGATTAGTCAGGGATGATGCTTAACTGAAAAGTATCGGATAAAGAAGAAAAGTACATTGCCTCCAAAATACTGCAGATGTCATGGACAAAGATGCAGATCATACGTACAAAAAATGCTATTTTTTCTAAAGCCGTGACCAAAAACAAACTGATTTAAACGTCAAGGCTTAGTTTGAATTTGTTTGTCCGAGGAGAATTTAGAGACCGTTTAAGTTTCGTTTCACAAATCAAATAAAAAGTCCATTTATGTCAGTGGGAGATCACAAAGGGAATAACAAGAAGGAAAAGAGTTCTTGCAACAACCATTATTTGAAGTTAATAAGAATAACAGGACGGCGATGTACTTAGTAATCGATGGATGGTTCTCTCTATGGGTTAATAAGGGCATTGTGTACCTATTTTGATCTTTGACAAGGGATGTGGCGCCAAAGCTCGTGGACGCGATCTGTGATTGGTTAAATACACAAAGCTGTTAATCCGGCCAATGGTTGGCTGAATTGCATTGTTCTCAAACAGCTGCTTCACAAAGACCAATATATTCAGCAGTGATGTTTAGTCTCGAAAGTGACACAGTTGGTCAAACGTCTGTAGAGAAAACAAAATTCAATTCTTTCCCTACTCTCGCGCAAATGATGTATGTGTGCATCGGGAAGGGCGGGTGCCGAACGAACCGCCGTCGCTCGCCCCAGTACGGAGACATGGTGCCTGTCTCACCATCTAAAATCAAACAGAAAAAAGGAAAAAAGACAGAAATCTACAGTGCAATGAACGGAAACTATCAACCGCCAGATTATTCGCGAACAGACTGCAACTTTCAAGACGATTTCGCCCCAAATGTGAGCGCACTTTCGCTGGATGTGAACGATAATCAGAAAGCTCAAATGCTGCCGTCTCCAACAAAAGCTACAACTTTTCCTCGAAGGAGTCATGCTAAAACACCACCACAAAAACCTCCACGGGGATTGCCACCGAAGCCCCCTCGCTTGATGGAAAGAAAAATTTTTACTTGCGAAAATCCGTCGTGCCAAAAACAAGAGGAACTGCTGGGAATCGTCGCGTTGGATTTTAAGTCTTGTCCATCATGTTTCACACACTATTGCTGCATGGAATGTCGAAAGACACATTGGAGCGAACATCGCGTCGTGTGTCACTACGGACAAGTCGATAGTCACATGAAGTCGATAATAAACATGAGTAACGAAAACCGTGAGTTGCTTTATCATTTGACTGAAATTGCACGAGATGGATTCATTACTAAAGGACGAGGAGCTGTCATGCTTGTTTTTCTCTCACCGAAAGCTGCGGAACTCTTCGTGAAAACTGGCGTTGATTATTTTCGTAATCCTCGAAACTCGCCAACTTTTTCGTCGGCACAAGAACTTAAAGAAGCCGGAGTTTATTCAAAACATCAAAAACAGCTTTTAAATCTGGTGAACGATTATCACCCAGCTCAAGAAATGGTTCTCAATATTGCGATCGTTGTAGGGAAAAACCTCCCGAAGACACCGATACCTCGAAATAAAGAACCCGCAGTTATAACCCAGGTTAAAATTCCTTTCACAGGAAGAAAAACCTCGAAGACTTTCAGTCCTCAAAATAGCCAAGAGTTTGACATTTGCACATACAACGTCAGAAACAGCCCAAGAAGGAAGTCTCTTTGAAAATCGTAAACAAGATTTCGTGTTCGTTGTAGTATTTTTTTTTTAGTCCTCATGTAGTGTGCCATTTATCTTTGTCAATGATGAATAAATCATATATTTATACCGTTTACAAGTTAACTTCTCGAAATCAAGTCAGAGTACAATATTTCCCGCTGCGAAAGCGTTCAAATCGAGTGTTCCAATGCGCACTGAACGCTGTCGAAATTTCATTTGTTTTCAAATTTTTTCCAAATTAGTCACTGTGAAATAATTTCAAAAAAATTCGGAAGTCGTTGGCGTACTTTAACGCCATATGTGTTCCCTTGATCATTTTTTTTTCGACTTTCAGGTCGTTTTATGTGCATAAGAAAAAATCTGTACGGTGTTGTTCATAAAAGAAAAAGTAAATGTCGTGAGTCGCCAGCTCAGTCAAATTGTGGTCAACGACACTACTAGCACTCGACTACTCTATTAAATAATTAAAAAGGTAAAATTTGCATACTTATTCAACATGAAAATTGTTTTAGTTTTATGCCAAGCGCGCTAATGTGGATCATGACGCAAGTTTTACCGAAGAGCGGAAATGAGGCAAGTGAAGCGAAAGTTTGCTTCGGGAAAAAATGAATGTATAAATAAATATTGCTTTACTCGCGGGGTAAATTTTCGCTTTTTGGCCCAATCTTTTCACACCTCGATGGAATGATTCTTGTTTCAGTAATTGATGTTTTTATCTATGAATTTAGACTAAATAGGGCCGTTTTGCCGGTACTGACCAAGACTTACGCGTGATGGTCCAATGCACATATATTCTCGTTAACAGAAAACTGACTTTTAAATTAAAAGCTAATACGTTAACATGCAGTTTATATTTGACATGAATCAACAAAGCTTTGACCTTTATTGGACATATTTTTAAACAAATAGTCCCGAAAACTTCAATATTCACTCATCGATGATGACTTCAGATTTAATTTAGAGCAAGATTACTGAGCCAGCGACATAAAGATCTGTGGGCGTATGCATAATGAGTTTCGTGCAACGATACGAACACAGGCAGAATGCAGACAAACACGCAAAGATCTTCAAGTGCCAACTTCCTCTCACTTGTTTTGATTTACGAAAAATTTACGTAGATTACGACAAAGAAGAAAGCCAAAACTTGTCTATGAATAGACCGGTGCTGGCTGACTCCAACGAAACTGCAAACTTGCGCATATCTTCAACTGAAATCTCGACATTTTTATTGTATAGTTTTTTTAGAACTACTACGTCTAAACTGGTTCAAGTGGAATTGAGGTTTGAAGTCCATACATATTGACTCAGGTGACTGCATGTCAGTTGCATGTAAATCATAAGTATCAAAAACATAATAAAAAATAACAATTACTAAAGTTAGTCTTGTGTTTACATGCAAGGAGATAACGTTTGTCTTAACATCGCGCTATTTTGTTTTTTTGAACATTTGCTTGATGTTGCGTGCAGTTCGTTTTCCCATGATCTTTGAAGCACTCAAATACAAGCAAATTACAGGTCAATTAAGTAAAAAGAAATTTAAAAAAAAAAAATCCTTTGCCTCCGGCTAACTATGGAACATCAGCAAACCACGCAACTGAAAAAGAAAGTAAACTCTGCAGCATTGAAATAGAGATTTTCTTTCGATTTTGTACTTTGAAATTCAGATGGAAGATGCTTGCAGTCAGTGGAACGTTTACTATTCTGTGAAAAGACATTTTGCTCCTGAAAAATAAGAGGAACATCAAAAGACGACAATAACTTTATGGGTAAACAAGACTTTTGGTTGTATAAAGCAAAGTACGAGCGACAATAATTCTCCAAAATGTCTTCACAGTTCCATCCCACCCCTTAAAAGATAAAATTTCTTCACTGGATACACAGTTTCTAACCGTTGGGAAGCAAAATAAAGAGGTAAACTTGAAAACATTTATTTATGATAGCGTGAGGTTCACTAATTATTCATGAGACAGATCTTAAAATATATATGAAGAAGTAGGTATTTATCGTATTTCGATTTCCGGGTGGAACTCAAAGAAATAATTACGTAGTCTTAATATAAACATTTTCTCGAATTATCTATTGACTGATAATCCTAGTCAGTATTAGTACGTACTTGAGGTTACATTGTTAAAGTCACGAGATATCTACGGCAAAATAATAAATAATACTCTACATGTAAATTATATTTGATAAGTCTGATTAACTTATGGTATCGAATGATGTAACTACTTATTGCCTGACCAGGAGGTCTGTTAGGAAGTATTTTAAGACCTACTATCAGACCACCTGGTCGGTCAATTAAAACTGGCTCGTGGTCATGACGCAATGACCGCGGGGAAGTAGTAAGACTCCACACAACAAGAGTTTCATTATCTTATCCTTCCTAAGCTTGATTAAGAAGGCACTCAATCCTTGCCTTGCTGTCAAAAAAAATTTTAAATGAGTCAAACGCTAAATTGATATGCATTTTTCATAAATGGGCCCGAACATAAGTAAAAGGATTTTAAAGTTTGGCCTTCTTTTAACGCTCGCTGTTTAGCAATTGAGATAAAGTACAAAATTTCAAAATAACTAAAGAAAGAAGTTCATCATTTGAGTGAGTTTAAACAAGTAGAAACTAGTTTTAAACAAGTTAAAAATAGGCAAAACTGGAAAAAACTATCGTAAGTCACGCTCTTCACCCGCCCATTTCTCTCCCCCTACCCCCTTGGGCTGTAACAATGAATTAGAAACTAGAGCTAAACAGACGAGGAATCTTTCAGTCGCAAACGATACGTCATCATAATGAAAAGCAGCAAGACCCTAGTCATTCAATTTTGAATCTAAATCAAGGCAGCAAAGTCGTTGGCTATAAGAGTTTAGAAACCGCGCTTGTTATAGTTTCATCTGGCGCTTTCCAGCCTCTACACTACCCATTTCTTCTACCAAGATGAAAAGGCGCTGTTTTGAAAGTTTCCTCACAGTGTTAGGGCTGCCGGGATTGTAGACACTTAAAAGGTTCTCCTTATGATCTTCTGGGCGGGTTATATTAGAAGTGTTGAAAATGGGGTAAGGTCGGTTGACAGCACTTATTTTAATGCTTCAATCCCCGAGAGTTTCTCGCAACTGATTTCTCCTTACAGAGTCACTACTGAATCACATTTTTAAGTCATGGGAATGAAGGAGATGATCACCAACCTAAGAAGCTCTTGATTGTTAAATAAATTCTCTTTTCCAGCACTTTAGTAAATGTAAGGGGAACAGAGTGGAGAATATGCATTCTGATGTTATGGTGTTAAGAGTTAAGGAGACTCTACATTGTCAATCTCCATCACCAAACAAAAACTACACTACAATAATACAATTCATTTACAGTTTATTTTATTTAAATTTTTTTTGCATCAACTAATAAATTTCAGTTACCATGGAAGACTACACAGCAATCGGCTTTATGTACTAATTTATGCTCTATGCAGTGAGAGGGCGCAATGGAAGAATGACAAATGCGGTTGCATTACTACTGCTATAATCCTATAAATAAGACAACTCTTTCTCTGGGCTTAATCCCTAGCGGGGATTGTCTTGGTAGCGACCCACTCGACTTTACCGGATCGCGGGCGCATGGAAACTCTCAGGGCAGGGTACTGAGCCTGGCCTTTTTACCTAACCATTTAACAAAGTTAGCATTGTTCGGTAAAGTAACAAGCTACTCAAGCGATCGAGTTTGCTTACTTTCGTTCAAATCTCCTGAGTAATATTATAATCCTCGCACAAACCATTTAGTTCCTCATGGTCATTGAAGAGAGATCAACTTTTGACTTGTGTAAAAGAGAGGAAAGGCGAATCTTCACGACAGGAAAGCTCTCACATTTCGCACAAATATTTCCGCATCAAAGAAAATGCCCACATCGCATTTTTTTTAGGTCCTTAGGTAAAAAATACGTCAATCTTCAGGCTTCAAAACTGAAATTCTAAATCTTAATGCCAGCAACTGACTACCCTTGAATTTTCGTTAATTAAGGTTCATGGTTGTAATCTACTTAAACATCTCTGTGAACAAATTGTAGTAATAAGTTTAATCACTGAGATGTTTGAGGCCCCCTGACTTTGCCTGACCTTTCCTGTCTAGCTGAGACGGATTACGAACTCATTAACTTAAAAAAAACGCAACTTAAACAAATGGACGCTGAAGTTACTTTAAGCACATCTCAGACAGGTTCTCTTCAAGAAGATTACATTGCAATTCTTGATAAGGGTTTGCCGTTATTCTATCAGGAAAATAGTCGTGAAGATGAGTATTTCAAAAAAGAAAAATCGTAGTTTGGCGCTAACTTAAAACACATAAAACACTACGCGCGTCATCAAACAAAGCTTAATTAAAAGTAGATCAAACAAATTGCAGGGTGTTTCAGGTTAAACTCCATTAACAAGATTAACTCAGAGTTTACCTCCCTGTGTGGTAGCCTTGGTCACTTCCGCCGGAAGTCATAAAGAAGGATCTCTTTCCAATTATCAAATAGCCAAATTCTACATATCACAATGAACAAATTTAGAGATATTGGTATGCGTCTCTTTTGCGTGCATGCGAAATTCAAGTAACTGAAATCATTTCATTTGCACTGTTGATTTAAATGTTGTTTCGATACCAATAACATAGTACATATAACTCTGACTGTCAAGATACATATCTACCAAATTCTATTTAATTCACCAAGCAAAACACAAGGATATCGTACAATAATATCTGCCTGTCCTGCAGGACCTCAGACCCTATAAAGGAAATTTTCTAAAGTTCTCTCTTATTTAACAGAAATATAATATTTAAGCTTAACTATATGCGTATATCATACTACAACAGTGTTGGCTTCCTTTCATGCACTGTGTACAATTTGACGGGCGGAAAAATGGTGGCACAATTTACAATTGTACTCTGATGAGATGTAAGTTTCTAGTTTGACATATTGAGTAACTATTCAGATTATCTTAAAGTCGAACTATAAAAGCTCTGGAAGATGGTCTATTTCTGAACCCTCTACCACACAACACTCGTTGGAGAGAGAGATCTCCTTCAAGAGTTGCGTGACAGAAAATATGTGCCAGAACAGGACTGACTCTAACAAAAGAGCTGAGATTCTTCCTTAAGTTAACGTGAGGTTTTCATGAACTTAACTCACTCAGTTACACACGTAAATAACCATACAATATATTGATTCATTAAAAATTTTCATATCTGCCCAGCCAAATTGTACACCATCAGTTACGAATGATAGAATTATTTAGAGATACGTTAGTATTCTGCTCCTCCAGCAAGATACCCTAGTCAACATGAGAAACATTAAGTAGAACGTTCGATTGATATGACGTTAAATCTGATCATCTGATTTATTACAATGCTGAAATTTAGAAAAAAGTCTTATTTTCTCTGTAAGATTTATACAAGTAAGTTATAAGTTAATTTCTAAGTTTATTTTGTACTTAAATTGATCATGCTGAAATCCCCTGGAGGTCTGAACAAGGTAATAAAGAAATAAAAATTACAAAAATGTACCAGACACAATCAAACGAAATCTTTCAAAATGCTCGGCCAACCCTAACTTAATAACTATAGTAAAATTTAGACTGCGACCGTCATAGCTACATAAAACAATCACAAAAACTCGAACGATAATTGCAATAACACACTGCTCCAAATATCATAAAAATGCCAATAAGCGACATATAATCACACGAAAAGTTTCATGAAAATACATTATTTAAAACTAGTTGAAAAGTTTGTCTTAATGGGAGAAAAATTTACTACCGTAAAATACTAAGAAAGTGATACACTCCAAATATTTCTCTTCTCAAACGTTTGGGGGAAAATAGCTAGTGAAAAAATTTAGTTATTAAAACTGATACAATGAAGTATGTAATTAAAAAAAAATTAAAATAATTGAATATACTGTGTACACTGATCAATCCTGCAGCGGATGTTAAGACAATTTAAATGTTGACTTAGTTTAGGACGTACTGTTGCGGACACTATTCCCAGCGGTGTTGTAATGTTCACATATTGGCTTTAGTAAGCGATGTCATCTGTATCATTGAATACTAGCCGTACTTCAGATACAATCGTTAGAACCAGCTATGTGGATTTCAGTGTGCTTCAATCTGAAGAGGGAAGCTTCTTCAAGGATTCTTTATCCAATTCCTCACAAGGCATTTACCTTTAATGACAACAAAACGAAGTTAAAAACAGCAAATCAGAGTACACTAATCAGGACTGTCGAACAGTTTGCATATACCACAAACAATGTAAGATGGTAACAATTTCATTAGTCATTTTATCTGAGGAAAAAGGTTAAATTCCATTAAATTTGAAGGTTATCTCTGCTCCTCTCGGAACAGTTCTAAATTGATTTTGGACATTAACCATGGACTGTATTGACTTTTTTATAAAGTTATTGGTGTAAAAAACATACGACCATTCTATAAACCTTCACCGTACAAAACCAAACCAAACCAATCAGGACTTGGTCACTGGCATTTTCGTGCAGTTTTCGATTGAGTGTCGTTAAAACAAAAACCAAAGCAATCACAACAACCAATCATAGCAAGGACAATATCACCAAGAGAACTCAAAGCAAAACAAGCAAACTACCTGAAGCGCGGGAAAACGCGGATGACCAAGTCATGATTGGTTTTAGTTTTGCATCTGATTGGTGAGAGGTTGACGCGAGTTTTCTGGACCAATCACAGAGCGAAGAGAAGCAAAACCAAAGCAATTCAGGATTACTTTCGAAATTCAATTAAAAATTGTCTTGCGCAGTTCAGGTTGCTGGTTTTTGTTTCCTTCAGCTCTCACTGGCTCTTGCAATATGTTTTCGTGGTTCTGATTTGCTGTTGTGATTATTCAGGTTATGATTTACGATACTCAATCATGCTCCGCTCTAATTGCAGAGATAATAAGCTAAAATTTACCTTAAAATCACATAGAGCATACACAACATGTCGTTACCTTCGAATCTTTGTGTTTCAAGAGATAACCCTTTTCAGTCCTTCGCCACATCATCTCCAGCTTCAGGCATGATCTTGCACATAACAATCTTCTTTCCTTGATTTCCGTACACAGTAAGTGGTTCAGTAAAGCGAATGTTCTGATCCACGTAGAGGCAAAGTTTATTATATATATCAGGATAATCATTTTTCAACCTGATTCCGTACTGTTTCAAGTTCTTCGAAATGTTCCTGCAATAGTGCCGGCGAGCTTCATTCTCGTTTACAAATTCATGCCGCGAGCACTTCGGGAGATAGAAGAACTTCGTTTCAGTCTTTGGCTCGCTCGGAGGAGAGGGTGCAGTTTCCTCTTTGAGCTTATTGCTCAAGGGAACCTTGACAACTTGAAGAACTGTATTAACTTTTCTTCGTGGGACGGGACTTTCTGGAAGGTTGTCCATCTTGCCTGCAATTATGGCGAGATTGAGGACAAATTCTTCCTCAGGATCGTAGTCTTTGATGTGTTGGGTTAAAGCGACTCGGTGCTTGCTAACAACACCTTCGGCTTGAAGGTCCATTAATGATGAATACGTCGGAGGACTTGGGAAGAACGTGCAACCAGTCGTCATAAATTTTCGCGCAGACTGCGCAGATGCAAAAGTCACCAGGACGCAGCCACGCCCTTTCCTCTTGAACCCTTCTCTAGCCGCTTTAGAGAGCTGGAATTTCAAAGCTTCTTTCTTGTGACATATGTAAATGAAGGAGCGAATGTAGCTGTTGATTCGACCGAAGAAACAAACTTTCTTGTGCTCGGACCAGTGAATGCGCCTGCACATTCTATTGCAATAGTAAGTAAAGCAAGCTGGACATGAAGTGTAAGTGGTTTTCTCGCCAGAAAATAAAGCCTCCTCTCGCCCACATCGAGGATTAGAACACTTGATGACAGTCATTGAGCCCCTACGTAACCCCATGTGGGGTGTATCCCCAGCGAATGAGAACTCTGACATAGGGCTCCCAGGGCGCGTCGATAAAGTTGATGAATTCACTGATATGTCATCAGGAAAGTCTCTTTCTCTATCATCAGCTAATGACAAGAAACTGGCGTCAATGTTAGCTCCGGGCTGAAAGCGATTTGAAGGGTATAGGAACAAATCTGAGGTCATCATATCTTCTTCATCTTGGTGTCCGCTGTCGTCCATCCACACGTTTTGACTGAGCCACTTCCGTGTGTGGGCGCTCAATCCACGCAAAAAAGGCGACTCGTTGATCTTGTTTCCTTTCCTTGACAAATCAGGCATCGATTTCCGGCTATCAGCGGCTTCTTTAAACCTCTCTTTGTCTATATCGAGGCCTGGTAACTGCACGTCTTGGAAACTTGCTCCCAGGCCTTTTCTTTGCAAGCCAAGCCCCTGTTGTTTACTTTCCGGGCCAGGCTCTTCGTCGGACTTGTGACGAGAATGTTCCGACCTTGCACGAGGACGACGAATCTCCGTCGTTCGTGAAATCTTAACAAAAGCGGACGTAAACTCGCTCGGTTCGTCGATCACTGCAGGACGAGAGTGTTCGGGTGTTCTGTACGAGAATGATTCATTCTGCGAAATGTCATTCGTTTTCAGTTCGGGTGTGGTCGAACCTGAGGAAGTTGGTCTCTTGTCATTCTCCAGCTCGGCAACTGGCGTCGCTGTTTTGGATGAGCCACTTGAATCAGAGCGATTTCGAACTCCGATGTTTCCGGCTTCGAGCGACGATCTTGTGTGCCGATGTCGTTGTTTCAGCGGTAAGCTACTCACAGATGATGTTTCAGAGTCTGCATCGCTGCTATAGGAATGAGATGAATTAGCGACGCTTTTAACGTCAATTCCTGGGGGGTACTCCTCTAGAAACACCTCATCCAACTCATCGTCTCCATAACCATCATTCACCGGGAAAGCCGTTATCACAGCGGATTCTTCCTTATCAGCTGCCTCCGCGAGAATAACAGGTTCCAAGACAACCGGGTCGTCGGCAATGACCTGGCGTATCACGACACCATCTTCTTCTTCATAGCTGTTGATGCGAATGACCTTCTTTGGAACCGGACCCATGTGCGCTCTCACTTGAACCCTCTCGGCGACCTCCTGTTTGTCTGGACTTCGCGGCGGAGATGTTCCCTCTGTCTGTAGAACAGCCTTCTGAGCCAACAAAGCGTCTAGATCCGTGACCATGATGCGACTTTCCCCCAGAGGTTCTCCATAAAATTCATCTTCCAAGCTACTAAGACTGCTCAAGCTGCGTTCCTTGGGTTCTTCCTGAGCAGGAATAGCGTTAGTCCGATCACTGCCAAGAACGCTGGACAGAATCATCCCTCCAGTATCATTATCTCTTATTTCTAAGCTTCCATATCCAGACTCGCGACCCTGACGGCGAGTGACTTCTGCAATAGGCTCTGCTTCTGTTGTCGTTGATAAATGCGGCCGAACAATCGTGTCATCATACTCTGGTCGGGAATCTTCTACAGGGGTAACTCGCGCCACGTGAACTTTAATCCTATTCCCCTTGGTTGCTGGCTCCGAAATTTCTGTCACTGTTTCGCGCTCTAGTCGCGGAATAGCTTCAACCACTGGTGGTACTCTTGAAACGCGAAGTATTTTCACTTGCATTTTATCCTCTTTATCATCTCCCTCCGTTTTAAACGCATTTCCAAGACTAGTTTCAGGATCGCTTGGTGATATCTTGGTCACGCGCGTTTTAACATTCTGCTTTACGGGTTCCTTTTCTATAACTTCTGCAGTGGTCTCTCCATTCTCTGCATCAGCCTCGCACAATACTGGCATAACTCTAGCTTTAATCTTGGTCGGCGTGTTATTTTCTGGGACGGATTCGTTGTCTTGCACAGCTGTCACTTTAAGAATGGGTGATCTGCGAGGTGAAATCACTTTTTGCTCAGATCTCCTTTCGCTCATTTCTGGAAGTGAAAGTCGACCGTGGCGACGTTTGACTTTCACGACAGGTACTACTTTCGGACCATCCTCCTCCTCAACCTTTTCCTCTTCCTCTTGAAGGCTTGTCATTGAATTCCGTAAGTCGTTACTTTGCCTGAGGGGCGTCAAAGCCTTGTTGAGGGAATCTAGGTCATTAAGAGATTTCCATCTTGCTTTTCCATGCACTTTCTTCTTGACGTTTAAAATGAGAATCCTCTGTTTGTCGCCTAAGACCTCTTGCACGGTAATTTTAGCAGTGTGAACAGATGGAGACTCCATCGACTCGATTGCATCATCCTCGAAGACACTGTTTGCAGGTGAGCCTAAACTACTGGTAGGCGTCTGAGCATCAGGTACCTCTTCATTGAGGTCTTCCTCTTTGATACTATCCTTCCGTATTTCGGGTGCTTTTTCAACAAACCTAAGATCCTCATGGCTCTTACTTAGTCGTATGTTACGCGATGAGAGGTACGTCTTTTGAGACTTCTTCTCCAAAGATTTAGTAGGTGATGTCCTTGGAGACCGGACCCTTCGGCTTTCTCTCTCCGCTGTGGTGTTCTTACCTTGAACACTTATTGTAACGACAGGCGATTCCACGGGCACTGTAGGAGTTTCTTCCTCTAAAATAGCTGGCTTTGTGTCTTTATCCGGTGAAGTGTTTTGAACTTCTTTAGTGGTCTTGCCCGATATAAACATTTTTAATCCAACATTTGCTCTGCTTGGCTTTGTTTCTACTTCATTCTTTATATCAGTCTTAATTTCATTTGCCGAGGATTCTTTTTTCTTATCGCCATTAATGGAGGTTGGTTTGTCGAAATCCTGCTTTTTATCCAAAGGAGATTCACTGCCCTTTAGTTTCTTGGGCATAATTTTCGGCTCCTTTTCGCCACAGATTTCTTTTTGTTCGTCTTTTGAGGGCTTTCTTTCCAAAGATTGTTTGACTTCCCGTTTTGGAGCATCCGCTCCGGCAGGCGCAAGGGCCGCGGTCTCCTTAACACTCTCAGGCGCCCTATCTAGTGTCGTTGAAGCGTCGATGCTTGACCCTTTACTTGGTTCACGTACTCTGGTGATGCGATAAGTCATATCACGTTTTGCAACATCGACTTTCACAGACGACGCTCTTGTCTCTAGTGACTCGGTCGTCGCTTTAGCTTCGGAGTTAACGTCGGCACTCCTTTCATCATTCGATGCGGGTAATTTAGTGGACTCTTGCGTGCCTTTACTCCTTGTAACGTCGCGTTCAATTGGTAACGCTCGTGCTTTGATACTTTTGGGATCGCTACTTGAATCGGGTTTAGGGACAGCTTTTTCTCCGTTCTTATCTGAAGAACGTTTCGCCAAATTATCCTTGATGTCATTTTTTGGAATGTCTTGTGTCACGGATGGTGATGCATTTACTGCGTCACTCTTGGTTTCTGGTAGCCCGTTCACTTTCGCCTCATCCTTCTGTTTGGGTACTTGCGACAAGGTTTGCTCCACATCACGCTTGAAGAGGGTTTCCACTGATGAAGTACGTGACTCGATAGTCTTGGTCACGCTTCTTAGCTCGAGATGAGGCTTGATGTGCGTTTGATCTTTCTGTGTGGGTGACAGCTCTGGATATTTCTTGGTGTTACTCTTCATATCAGCAACTTTCTCAGAAGAGGCATTTTCCTTGATTAGCTCAGGCACAGTAATTACTTCGGCTTTCTTTTCATCTTTCTGTATGGGCGCCTTTACAGACTGCTCAAAAAGGGTACTTTTTCTTGTGATTTCTTCAGTCTGGGTCAGGTATTGTGTGACTTGCTCTGAGATGTCTTGGTTTGGGGGAGAGGCTTCCACGGTCGAAATACGTGCATCTATCACCGATTCGACAGACTGGGGCTCAACCTTAGGTGCAACCTTCGTTTGTTCACTTATCGAAAGTGGACGCGTGACAAGTTGTGTGACACGTTGCCTGACGTCTTGATCTGGAGTAACGACTTCCGAGGGCAAAATTGGTTCCTTGATGACCTTTAGTTCAGGTTTAGGCGGCGTGTTAAGTTCTTTTTTAGCTGTTGTTTCCATTTTTTCAGCGTTAACTCGAGAGATGTTGTGCTGTCCTTCCACAAAGTTCAAAGGCTGCATAAAATGGCTAACTGGACCAATCTGGGTCGTTGCGAAATTGTAAACAGAGTGCTTCTCTGCTTCGCCACCCTCCAGAATTACTTCTGCCTTATTAACATCTTTCTTAAAAGTTTCATCACCTGCATCCACTTTTTCTTCCTTTTTATCCTTGCAATTCATTAGGTTATCAGGGTCTCCAATCAACTTATTAGGGCTTGAAAGCATAGCTTTTTCATCTTTTGTGACCTTCACTTCTTTCCTGACAACTATCTTGATTTTCTTCACAATTTTCACAGATCTTGTATTATCTAACGCGACATCATTTCCATTAGTTGCAGTCACACCAGAAACAGTGACAATGTCTGGTTTTTCAAGCTTCTTTAAAGTTGCCTCCTCAACTCCGGCAGTATCCGTAAGGCTTTCTGTGGTGCGATTTTCAGTAATGTAGTCGCTTTCCATGTCACGGTTCTCTGTCACGCCATCATTTGGATAAATTATTTTGTCAGAGACGGTTACAGGTCCTTTAAAGTTCATTTCTTCGCCGTTTACAAAATTCAAAACATCATCCAAATCACCATTTGCAATAACGTCTTTATTAGCGAAAACTTCGGCCAATAAATCAGGCTCTTCAAACTCTTTTTCCTCGTCACTTTTGTCTGTCACGCCATTCTCTGTCACGTCATCGTGAGTGAGAAGGTCGCCTGGTTTTGTCTCTGCATTATTTGCAACACTGACAGCGATAATTTCCTCGCTTGGTTTCTCTGTGTCTGATCCGCTGTAATCTTCCTCGAGATCGAGATCGTATTCTGAATCACTTGCATCCACCGTAGCAATGGGAGCCTTGAGTTCCATCGACGTTTCCTTGGAAGTACTCGACTCATTATCATAACTGTAATTGGTTGTTTTGGGCTGGACCCACGGATAGCTTTTTCTTCCCCGGCTCACCTCTGCCAATCCGATCTCTTCGTCTTCTGGGATCGTAAATAGGAAAGGTTTCCGTACTCGTCTGTATTCTTCCTCAAATACTGACCAATCCTCGCCAAAAGAGTCAAAATGAATGTCTTCGGGTTGATCACCATGGCTCTCGTTCAGTTTAGACAACACTAATTCACCATAAACACCATCCTTTTGAAATGAAATGTCATCCATAAGTGTTTCCACGGCGTAATTCTTATGTAGAGGATCGCTTAATTCAGCCTCTTCGAGGTCCTCGATACTTTGCTGTTTGTCTAAACAACCGCTTAGAGTTGAAGTGATGATAATTGATTTTTGAATATTCATATTTGATTCATCTTCGGAGGATGTTGTCTCAGTTGCACAATGAGAGCTATTTGTCTCTTGATCTTCTGACATGACAGTATCAGTTGTTGAAATACCAACAACGTCCTCCGCGGAATTGTGTGTCTCTTCCTCAGAGAGATCCGTCTCTAATACAACTTCACTGGACAATTCATTTGCCTCGGTTTGTCCCTCTTCTAAGATTATCTTGTCTAGGTCTGTCACAGAAACATGTCTCTTAAAATAGATGTTAAATTCACCTTCTTCTCCGAGTTCGTCGCTATCCATCAAGTCAACATCGTCAATATCAATGTCGGTTTCAAACGTGTCGCTAACGAACGAGTCCGCATACCGCGAAGCCGTTTCATTTCCATTCATGTCGATTGATTCCTCATTAGGAATTAACTTATCACTTTGTAAACCATCGTCGTAAGAGTCGATAATTATTTTGGGAACTTCGACTTCATCCGATTGTTGTTTGTGACTGGAAACTCCCTCCTCTAGCGTATTTGCTTCATCGCTGCCAGACATTGAAAAAAACGTCCACGAGTGGGTCGTATGATTATTTGATTCCGCTATTTCGTCTACGAAACCGTTCATTTTAAATTCACCGAGATCGCTTTTGTTAATGTTCATCGTAATACTTGTTAATCCGCTGATGTCTTCCGTAGGAGCCTTACTAAGTCTCGTGTACAGATCCTCTGCAATGTTGTCATGGGCATTAAATTCATTCTTCGAATGTTTGGAGCGGATATCACGCGTGAAATCGTCCTCGAAGCCATTCTCGGTAGCACAGGAAACCCTGTGCTCACTAAGTGCGCATAATTTGGGTTCCTCGATCTCATTTGCATCTTGTTCGAGCGTTGGCGTAAGATCACAGTTAGGTATTGTAAACACTGTGGTGCTTTCGATCACCTCGCCGTTCAGGTTAGGAATATCTTCATGTTGTGTTTCTTTCTTACCTTTGCCTGAGCACGCGTCGAAATTACCGGAAGTGAAATTTGCAACTTCTTCATATTTGGATGTTTTCGAGCTTTCTTTCATGGCGCTATGAAGTGCTGGGCCAATTAAAGGGATACTTTTGCCATTTTCTGTGTCCAATACTTGAGAACCATTGTCATTTTGGCGAGATAGCAAAGACGTGCCATTTAGTTCTGTTTTAATCGGCTCGGGAACCGTGTAAACTTTAGCTGTGATGTCAACAGTTTCAGTTGAGTAAAGTGAGTTGGTCTCAGCTGGTTTTAGTGGCAGAATACCATCTTTTATCTCTGGCTTCTGTCTGTCAAAGGCTGTAGTAATTTTCGTTCCCGTCTTAGAATAATCACATTCCATGTCTGTTGATATTTCTGAGAACCCGCCATTTTTATTAACATGACCTTCAGTGTTTGCAGTTGACAAATTGAGCAAGTCTTGTTGAAAGCTGTCGAGATCAGTTTCCTGAGACTTCTCGCTACTTTCTGTATCAGTTTCCCCATCCATTTCTTCCTCTTCGACGATACTTGGTAAAAATCCGGGGAAAATAAGATCCATATTTTCCATCGAGTGCCGTCTCCCGGCTGCCAAGCCACTCGAGCTTTCAGACGACCCGTCATTGTCATCAACCCAGCCGTAGCTTGAATAGTGAATGTGAATTTCGTCGTCTACGTACTCGTAAACGCTTGAAGCTTCTTCTTTTTTTCTAGAGACAGAAGCCACAGTTTTTGTACTAGATTCTTTAGAAATATCGCTCTTAAACTGCAAATCTTCGCTCAAATGTTCTAGAATTCTCTTCGCTACCACCTCTTCTCGATCGATTTCTTCGGTGACCTGTCGACCGGCGGACTTTCGGATCGGAGCGATCTGTGTTATGTAAAACCACACGGTTACAACGAGCAGAAAGAAAAAAGCGAATGACCAAAAAACGATTGATATTTCCCCGTCTTCCACTTCCTCAGGGGTGTATTCCTCCTCGAGCGTAATAATCTCTATCATCCACATGTTGTCGGGTATCGATCGGCGGATTTTTGAAACACAATAATTTTTCCGCTTTCCACGGCGATAGCACAAAACCTTCCCAGTTGGGTAGAGAATGTAAACACTGTAGAGACCAAGCTCTTTTGAGCTACATTTGCACCAGCAATGTAGGAAATTTAATCTTCTTGATGGTCCCGTCTCACGAACAATCGCCTCTGTTCAAGGAGAGCGGACCGTGCAAAGCAACCCGTAGATTTGCATAAGAATCGATGGCACTACAGCTTATCATTGAATCGTAAAATTTGATGCATTGTCCTCAGTTTGGATAGCCACCCGTTAAACGGAAAGTTTCCAACGACCTATTGCTGCCAAGTCATGAAAAATGCATCACACCACCATCACTTCACCTCAAAATGGCGTCTCTACACTGGATTACAGTGTATTATCGAAGCGTTTTCCGTCTTGTTTATCTTGGAGTAAAACAACCTTTTGATAGGTTCCAAGCCACGTGAACGAAACAATAGTACTACTTGCGTGAGTACGTAATCAGTTCTATAAAAAAATTATTTTAAACGCTGGTGATAGCAACATTCGTAGGAGACACTACCGTTTTCGATTAAAATCGCCTAGGCGGCACAGACAGGTCCACATGAAAATAAAGAAGATCTGGCTTATAGTAATGCTGAGTCGTATCCATTTCCAATTTATTAATAGTTCGATGACAAGAATGCACGCGATGGCGAGGAACGTTCCCCTTCACTGCGCATTGGAAAGTTCTTTACTAGAAAACGGCTTTGTCGAGCTCTATCATTAATTAGCCTTTCAGTAATTAGTTATTCAAGGCTGGAGCAAAGTCGAAGTGAATTTATTACTGCGTCAGACGTGTTTTAAATTGCCAAATGTTGACAAATACTCAAGAGCGATTAGGAGGTCTTGCCACATAAACCAAACCGGATACAAACACACGCAGGAGCAAACCAGCTTTGAGAAAAAATCCTATGAAGTAGAACAATTTCAATTTCGTATGGTTGATTTGCAAAGAACTTTGCAAATTTTGGGCTAAATAATGGTTAAAAAAAATTATTATGAAAATGACGGCTATTGTCAAAGACAAAATAAATGAGACACAGCTAAATTGTCTTCCTAGGAAAAATAATGGTCGTTATTCGATTTTATTCAACCGAAGCAAAAAATATTTTCAAGTGCAATCCGCACGTAGAAGTAATACATTTGTCAGGAAAAACTTTTGTGGCGGTAGAAATTCAATATTTATCAAAGATGACTTTAGATAACGAAGAATTTTGCGTATTTTATTAGATTGTTCATTACTATATAGAAACAACGCGGGAACTCCTGTTAAAACATAATCAAAGCCAGACCCCTACCGATACAGTCATTACACATCCCATGGTGAATACAAGTTTTTTTGGAACTTGCTTACATAACTAATGATCGTAAAACAACCGAATCTATACACAATACCCTACTTTGTTCCGACAACTTTTCAAATGCAAATTAGAGAAATTTTGCCAATCGCGCGGCAGACGAAAGAAAGCAGAAGATCTGGTGGATCAGGAACCCAAAAATCCGGAGCTATCTGTCTATTTGGAATAGAGAATGGCCACAGTAACAGCAGGGATTTTTGACACGTTCAGAGCTGAGATTTGGTTTAATACAACTTGAGGAAAGATAAAAATATTAGGGGGTCGATTACAGAGTCCGAGTAGTTATGTAATCACAATCGAAACCTAGACAGTTTACAAGCCAAGACTTGTTTCGATTGTGTTTTTAATACTGCATCCCTGGTAGGGACAGAATGACTTCGATGGCCGACTGAGAAAACTCATAGAAAATGTACTGTTTCGCTTTAATATAATTATTTCCTTTTAATAAAAGAAATGTTAGGATCTATGCAGTCGAAATTGCATTTTTTTCCCTTGAAATTGGACTTTGAACAAGTACCCAAGACACAAGTACCCAAGTCCTTACACAGAGTGATGAAGAACCTCGAGAGGGTAGGGGATACCCAGCAAAGTTTTGCATGGTTATTCACGAGGATCTTCAGAACGTCCTGCAGAGCATGACAAGAATTTGTCTTTTGAACCTCAGACGTTAAAAGTGTTTGGCATCTGTCATGGTTTGCTACTTGTTCGTTGGACAAACTACGAGTGTGAAAAGTTTCTTTCATTGTCATAACAAGACGGTTTTCAGTTCTATCAGTTAAAGCTTAGTTTCAGACCGGATCAGTATCGGAGTATCGGTTTTGAAACAGGTGACGTGAATACAAACTCACTTTATCAGGATTTGTGAATTTAAGTGACCGGGTATTTAGCTAAACTGCTGTCTACCAAACTTCCTAGTCATTAATTCGTACACTTTGTGGCGTTATTTCTTTTATCTTTTCTTTTTCTTTTCTTAATCTTATTAAAGAAGGAAAATAGAGATTAATAAATGAAGTAAGCATTTACTTTTCGAAGTTGTCTGGTTTTTTATTGACTTTCAATGGCTTTCTTTCTATCTTTCTTTCTCTTTCGCAATAATATTAACATCAATTATTATTATAATTCCTGAGAAGAGAGCTGAAAATTATTTCACAACTCTAAAAATCAACTTGGAATCTTCCCATACCATCACCCGTGACGTGAATCTCAATGCGATGAAGCCAATTTTGTGATATTAGCTCGCCTGGCAAGTTCTCCTCGTAAATCATTAAAAATTTGCATTTTTGCTCTAATTTATCTGCCACTGAACACATCCGGCAGAAAAATTCCTGCCAATTTCTTGCTTATCTGACTAACAATCGCTTTCCACATTTTAGTTCTGAAGTAGTGTTAATTAAACCTACCCGCAAAGTGATAGCAGTCTTTTGTACGCCACAATCGACGTTGCGTGTTGCTGAGAATCGGACCAAAAACTCCTTGGGGCAAATAAATTCGGGTGACGAAACGAGTTTAAACCACACGGTGTGGTTTATATTGTAAGTTATTCTCTTGGTTTTTGTTCATGTGATAGATTATGAAGAATGCTGCATAACTCTTCCTTTTCAAGGGAGAAAAGCATATGGTGACCACTATAACAGCTTTTTATACTTTCAGGAACCATCAATCATTACTATGATTGTTCGATACTCATAATGGCTATGTCTGGTGAAGAGAAACTGAGGGGGTGGGGGAAAAACGTATAAAACTGGAATAAAGAAAGGTATGGCAAAATTGTGCCATGAGTCGATGCTTATTCTGTCGATATCTTCCTGTCCTTTTCACAAATTTCTCATTTTCATTTTTATTCGTACATAGATGAATTTGATAGACAATTGACGTTTGTAATCTGAACGGCGAGAAGCTCTCCGAACATTTGGTATAAATTCTATGCGGGACCCGGAGCCAGTAACGGGCTCCTGACGGAACTGAAAAAAAAACGAGACAAAACAGACAGGCAGTTTTTTTTTCAATTAAATAAGGCCAAATAATGAATAAATTGCTCGTTGTTCAGAAAAAATCGTGAAAATTTTTCTTTAGTACACCCATTAAGAAAAAAAAATGATCATGCCAAAATAACCTATTTTCTGCAAATGGCTCAACGAGATCCTACTGAGAAAGTGCAGTGATCTGTTGTCTCCCAGTAATAAAGATGCAAATTACTCAAAGATGTAAAGAAGAAAGCACTTACGATCCACATTTTTGTTCTTATGCCAAAAATGTTGCAATTTCATTATTAAAAAAAAAAAAAGCGATGTTTACCACCCGAACTAAAATAAATAATTGTTATGTGACGTAAAGGACCGAACCTACTGAAGGACTCGTTAAAAAGTCGACACGCAAATGAATGAAAGTCGCTCTTTTCTCACTCTTCTTGGTTTCATAAGAGCTCTTGCATTAAAAAATACAAGTTATATTCTTGAAATGAACCTAAAGGGTCTCCAAGCGAGTGAGAGCGGGAAGAATGTCATGGAGAGTCGAGAAATTTCTCAATGGTATATTCATAGCACGTCGAGAAACCGGACATCTGCTCCCTTGCCCCTCCCCTCTCCGTCGTGATGCTTAATCCCTTTCACAAGATCACAGATTACAATATTAGCAATTTATAGGCACTTGAAAACCGAGATTGACACCATGGAAGGATCACACGCCATACTCATGTGGTTGAAGTTCCCTCTTAAAAATGTGAAAACTTGAAAATTTTCCTATATTATCTTGGGGCCCCCTCGTAAAATATTTCTTGTTGTCCTTCCTGTTTTCTGATCAATTTTTTCAACGTGAAATACTTTGCTCTATGTCTGCTTAAATTAACCTCCAGGCAAAGGAAGGCAAGGGAGGGAAATGTAGGATAAAATACCAACAACTGCGGCTATGCACTCAAATTATGTACTCCCCGTTTCCTCCCATTTGCACGCCAGCCACGCAGTACATTGTGTCATTTCAGTTGCGGGGAATCAGAAAACATGAGTGACGAGAAAATCGAAAATTTATACCTGATAAAAAAAAAACAAAAAAAAAAAACAATGACATAAGAACTAATAGAAAGTCAAAAATTAGAAATGTACTGCCGAACAAAAAATTTCTGAACGCCTTTGGCACTTGACGTGCCACGAAAGTCAGCACCAAAATACGATTCTCTTTTTGTAATAACTATAGAACTCTTTTCATAATAGCGATAGAAATGCCTCATGATTGTCTACTTCATTCAATACAGACTAATCCGGTCTAGACAGCCTTTTAACAGGACATAAAAAAAACTTACCCAAGGGCAATATTGCATTTTATTCATGTTTGCCATATTTTTAATCGGTGAAGGTGGCATGTCTGATCACGTAGAACTATATTTCCGGTTGAGAATTAGGGTTGGTATTAAACACTTCCTCGTCTACTACCACACGGAGAGGATTCTCAAGCACATAATCCAGTTGTGTACTAGTATACACCTACTAGTTGTTCAAAACTTAACAAAAAGACGGGCTCGTGCTTTGATTGAACAATGACATGAATAGGTCACGGAACTCGCTACTCATTTAAATCACTATCTATATGTATCACGAATTGGCGTAATACCACTTAAGTCTATTGGATGTTCTATGACAAATGTTACATTCTGATTGGTTACACTAATTGCTATCTACTTTGTAATACATAGTGAGGAGAGTAAGTAGCCTATTTGGGTTTGTTTGTAAACAAAATAAATGGATAAAAAAAACATGAGTCTGTCTTGTTGTTAAGGTTTTAACAACGTCTCGAGTTATTTTCAAACAATGGGATTATCTACTATAGAAACCTATGCATGATAGTGAATTCAGTATTAGCTCTCATTAACTATCGCGTGATAAGAAATCTTGAGCTCATAGTCTCATTGTTGAATATTCGGGACTTGTTGCTTTAAATTTAAGTCTTTAACTCGCAGGATCTGACTGTTAATTCTCTCCTCTAGCTGCTACACATTTCCTTGTAAATAAGTTGCAAGAATTTGGTGTTAGATCAAGATAATAACTTCTGCCTGAAACATTTGAGTACTCTTATTACCTGTTTGTTGGATAGTGCATGGATATTGTAAGGAGAAGTTGCATGTGAATCACTTCTGGGTCTCAAAGGGTTAACCACGTAAATGAGATTTGAATAACTAGGATCGACTCGCATTGTATGCCGGCTTTGGTTCCCTCTCTTTCTTCGCTACTCAGTTTTGAAAGGTTATAACCTTGTGTGGTTATGTCCCCCTTAGAAACTCACTCTATTTAAGACCACATTGGTTTAAATCCCATTGAAGAGCATTTTTGTTAATCTGCAGCTCCAATCGTCCAATGAAATGCTCAAGTGATCAGGGCAGCCATATCTAAACCAAACCTAAAGTTCTAGTAAATTTAGTTTGACTAACACAAAACAAAAGAGCTCTAGAGAAAGCTTTGGAAAAAATGAAAGTAAGAGATCAAAGCATCCGTTCCTGCAAATTCAAACAAGGATGATGATCACTGACAATTTTTTTTTTCTATTTCGACCATTTCAATAGGTGGGGACAGGGGTAGGTACAGAGTCATTAAAGAGTATTCTTTTAAGGCTCTAAGGAAGGTAGCCACGTTCAATAAAGTTCATTCCCCTTCCCAGTTTGATTCTTTCTTCAAAATAAAAATAAAAAAAATTAAATGTGAAATTTTTTTTAAAGTTGAGATGGTCATGGGGTTTAGTTTCACTCTTGTTTCTTCAAAGTTTCTATCGATGTATTTGTCTCCATAATTCCTGTCATGTGTGTTTCTTCATATCTCAAGCAGACACCAAAACGCTGGATCTTTTAATGCCCAAGCAAAGATTTCCTTTCCAATTTGCTTAGTGGTTTCTGTTTTGAAGTTGGGTTTGGTGCTACAGAAGAAAGACTGGCAGTCTTATCAGTTAAAATCGCACACTTACACTTTGAACACTATTTTTATTGATAGCCACAAACAAGGTTTTAAATACAACTTGTGCAATGTAAATAAATAAATTTTCAATTTTTACAATATACCATAAGCAAAACAATCTATGTTATCCACTTAGAGCTGTAGACATGTTCTTGCAAGACTGAGGAATACTTTTCTTTAGAGTCTTATTTCCTATCATATCGACAGACAAGAACTGAACTGAACCATGAAGTATAATACATGCATCTAATTAGTTATATTGCTAAATTCTTTCAGGATATTTCTCCTTGTAGAGGGACAACACAGTTCTTTCAATGATATCTGCTATACCGGCGAGGAATATCTTTACATGTATCTGCAGATTCCTTGTGTGCAGCTAATTTCATCTTCTGGCAGTTTGAGACTCTAACATGACAGGAGATTGACAAAAAAATTAGCCCAGAGTAAAACTAAACTTTTTCCTTTATTAAGTAAACAACATAGGCAATACATGTACAATTTCTTTGATATTCTATCAAACTTTTCCTCAAATCAAAAATCAGGAGATAAAAGGGTACTATAAAAATCAATGTGAGAGGTAAGTGGCCTGAAGACTCTTCTATTTCTGTTCTGTATCTGATCATATTCAGACATAATTCTAACAACACCTGAGACTAAACCCATGTTCAGCCTAACTATTTTCCAGGACACTTCAATACTATCAGTGAAAGATGCAGAATGGTTAAAGCATACAGGACTTTGAATGAGACCACTAGTCCCCATTCAAACCCTGACAAAGCCACTGTGTTGTGTTCTTGAAGAAGACACTTATCTCTCTCACTCAGAAAAAAAATATTTGAGTACATTTTTTCTGCAAAATGAAGGCTACTGTCTACACTTAAGTAACACAAAAACATGGCATATTGCTGTATTCAATCTAAGAGATTTTAAGAGCCCTTCAACCTCAACCCCCTTCCCCCAATTCTTCTAACAACTGGTAAAACTTATCAAGGACAAAAGGCTTACTAAACTTCAAAACACATCACTTAATGGGATTAAATTCTCAAAGAGTAAGCTACACGTAGGTAGCAGGCTTTCTACAGACAGTACTCAGGTTGCAGATTTTGCCTCTTGTTTAACTGTAGCATCAAGGGAAATTTTAAGAATTTAAGTTGTTATGCCAAAATGAAGTTTGATACTCGGACTATAGCATTATGCCCAAAATTATGCCAGCATAATTTATCAGAGCCCAGTTTGCACATCACACCCACATCAGGCATGCCATGGAACATAAAACAGAGAAAACAAAACTTCTCTAACACATTAGAGAAGGTGAACTTTTCCCCTCTCACACTTTTGTAATCTGTATTCACTTCAACCTATTAACCCTTTCCTACACAGCTGTGCGGCCAGTGGCAACAAAAGTAAGTGAAATAGGAAATTGTGAAGACCTGAGCTTATAATTATATACGAGTTGCAATTCCTCCACAAAGAGCCATGGACGAGTTTGGAAGATTTCACAAAGATAATGATAAAATTGTCATCAACTCTTCCCTTCAAGTACCTTATCAAAAAACCAAAACCTAAATTTACAAATTCATAACAGGTGTCAAGCAAACGGACGCTTCTTTGACAGCACGCTTACATGTACATAGAGGCTACGCATTTACCAAGAAGAAAAGAATACCAGAACACTGACCACAATATAAAAAAACAAAAAATTTCTGGCTCAAGAAATAATAATTTCTACGCTTATGTAGATTTAAAGAAAAGGAAAATGGTCCTAATTGAAAAAATCCCACGTTGGAGCTTCCTCGCAGCTAGAATATTATTAAGTCAAGCAGTGATGGTTCGCTGTCTATTTTTTTCTATCACTATCAACTTTACCTTTTAGTTGTGATACGATGGGTTGAGAGTTATAAACCTAGAAAGGATAAAAGCAGCCACAATCGTGGCTAGTGTGAAAGTAAAAAAAGCGAAGTAAAATGTTTGCTCGTCTCCAAAGATGTCTACCATGTTGTTTTCGTTTGGTTAATTCACACAAGTTGTCTCCGTCAAAGGACTGGAAAAGAGTAGTGACGTCATATTCCTTACCCTCGATGGATTAACAAAATGGCGACTGCCTTTAGTGGAAATACGTTTGTTTTTTGCGTATTTATTCTATTTGTTCCCTTTACTCTGGGTAGAAATCATCGAATACAACTAAAGGTATAGTCTTTTAATGAAATTAGATCATTCCACAGTGTTTTTGTTCCCTTAATCTTTTATTTATCGCTTGTTTTTATACGTGCAATTTATAGGATGAAACTAGACAGACGATCGAGTTGAGTAAGTTCGGATTTCTTCAGAATGGAGTTCTCAAAGTGAACTTTACCAATATGCGGTTTAAGGAGAAAAATTCCGCAATCGTAAGTATATTTTGATATCGAGCAGTGAGGGCGCAAATTTCAATAACTTAGTTGAATTTAGCTTTTCGCCGGCATTAAAAATCTCAGGCAGCGAATTTAGCTGAATACTCAAGCCAATTGTTAACTTTCGGTTGTCGATTCCCTTTCAGTTTGGTTTTTCCCTGGAAAAGACTGGAAGTGATGGTATTTCCCCTTACATGGTAAGAACAACTTAGAGTATATTTTACCGATAGGGGTTGAGCAATCAGGTGTGACACTAAAAACTAATATATGTTACAAAGGTCTGACTCGTTCAAAGGGAAGCAACGACATGAAAAACTGTTTGGCCTGTAGCATTTGCAGAAAAGGGTCTAGTCGCTGTGCCGTTATTAATTTCGGATCGACGCGTTCAGTTTGTCGCCGTGAGTACATTGAGGAAACTTCCCAACTGCTTACGTTGGCTGTAAGGAACATCTGAGAACTCTGGAAGTGTGGTAGGGGTGATTCTGTGATATGGAGACACAAATCACCACAAACTCTAAGGGCTCCGGTTTTTCCAATTGTGAATATGAGCTTCTAACATTGCTTACAATGAGTATTAAACAGTAGAAATGAACTTTTGAAGTTATATTTATGTTAATTACACAGTATATATCTTTTTGGTTTTTAATTTTTTGAGAGATGCCATTTTATTGCAACCCATAGGCTTACTGTCCACAATAATCCAAAAAATTTTCTTTTCAAAATAGAGAAAGGTCTGATTCTTAATTCTCCCCTCTAGCTTCTACTCATTTGCCTGTAAATTAATTACAATTAGTTGGTGATAGATCAAGATAACAGCTTTTACCTGTATCAGTTTGAGTATTCTCATTACCTGTTTGCTAGATAATGTATTGATATTATAGGGAGAAGTTACATGTTAATCACAGACTTCTGGGAGTTAGAGGGTTAACTCCTAAAATCTGACTGCAAGTTTCCCCTCTTGCTGCTACTCATTTCCTTGTAAATTTATTACAAGAATTTTGTGTTTGATCAAGAGAACAACCTCTACCTGATAAATTTGAGTACCCTTGTCAGCTGTTTGCATGGTAATGTTTGGATTTAAGAAGGAGAAGTCATGTGTTGATCACTTCCAGGAGTTAAAGGGTTACGGGGATAACTGATGAATCACCACTTGGCTTTGCATTGTAGTGTGGACAGAAACCATTTTGATTTTGGAACCTTTTTGAGAATATTGTTGCAAATGCTCTATATATTTTCATTGACCTTTATGTGAACTTGTCTTTTGAGATGATTAAAGGTCTTCTGGGAGGGGGATTGTGCTAATGTGGACAAATACTTTTCCATCTGGCCCCAGTTGTTCGAAGGTCAGATAATGCCATCCACTGGATGAATCTCTGTCTGGTAAATAATGCTATATGCCATCACTTATTTGCTGGATAGCGATTTATCCATTGGTTAGCATTATCTGCCATATACAACTGGGCCCTGGTTGTTTTTTATGCACACGAGGAAAAATTACTGCTTTGTTCTTAGAATGAATTCTATAGTGAGTAAACAGGATTATGAGGTCAAGGAAAATATCAACAGTCATACTGGAGATGAAATTTTGTACTTGGGATTGAAATTGAACTGCACCATATATAAATGCAATCATTTAAAAGTAAATTTAAAAAGTTTCTTCTCCTTATACACAAATAGATGCAAAAAAAGTTTGAATGGAAAGGTCTGCCTGTCTTAATTATATATTGTATAAGAAATGCACATTGTACTCCACTCTGCTGAGTGACTTTTCAGTGATAGATCACAGATGACATCAAAATGTGGCAAGAACCACAAAAAAGTGGTACAAGGCACAGCTGAGTACATCACCAATATTCTTACCACATTTTGAACAGACCCATGGCAATAGGGAATCTAATTATTTTATACAAGATAGTAGCTAAATATCATTAATAGTGACATTATCTATGTGTCTTTTTTTCAATAGATCATAAGACCCAATAAAAATGCATGTGTTATTTTGGTTATTCATTTACTTATTTATTATATAAATATATATAGTACATATGCATAAACTTCAATTTATGTATTTATTTTTCCACAAACTTGTAGGTTTGATTTAATTTATTTCATGAACTTTTTCAGGAGCAACACTCTGATAAATGTGTTCTCAATGATCCAGAGAAGATTACTAATGTGAACCAGATATCATTGGCAATTCTCAAATTTGATCTCAGTGGACCAGAGTAAGATACATTTACATTTTGTCTAATGTTGTGTCTTTGATTGCCTCCAGTTCTAGTATTGTCATGCTTATTTGATCATTGTATGGAATATACACTAAATAAATATTATTAATGGTAAGCGTTTTGCTTATTGCTATTTTTTGGATTTTTTCAAGGGGTCTGCCTTTTGGATCACTTAATTTCTTTTTTTTTTTTTTTTACTAAGACAGTTTTTCCTTTGAAGTGTCATTTGATACTGTTGATATCTTGCTACACATACATTTAGTGACTGTTGTGATTAAATCTGAAAACAGTTCTTTAGTTCAGAGGTAGATCAATATTATTTGCGGTGTACATGCATTAAATAAGTCTAAATGTCTCTGTATAATTAATTATTGAGCTAGTGCCTGTTGTGCTTGACAATGTTAATATTTGTTTATTAAAGGGTAAATATAATTTAGGCCAAGTCTAAACTAACTCCTTTGTGGATTTGGAAAGCACAGAGGAGGTTTGCCAAGGCATTGCCATGTGCTTCTCTTTTTTTCAATTTTCTTTTCTACATGTACTTAGCTTGTTGTTGTGCAGTTACAGACACTTTTTCCTCAGTCAATTCCAATTAACTGTTTTATTCTTGCTTTTATTGATGGTCAGGATCATTATCACAAAATTTGGACATGACTTTGAAAACCTGACTATTGATAAATATGAACCAGAACCAGAACCAGAAATTATGGAAGCTAAAACTACCTTGTCTAGTAAGGAAGGAGAGAGTATTTCAAGTTCATCTCCATCCTCTGATCATACTACAACACAAGCATCAACAACTGTTGTGAAAGCAACCTCTAACACTCCTCCAAAGAACACAGCAACAACTGATACTTCAAGTACTGTACAACCTTCCTCCATTGGAAATGAGACTTCTGTGATAAAGAAACAAATTAGAAGGAGAAGGGCAGCAGATAGTACGAATCCAACAACACTTACTAAAAGCAAAGAAAAAAAATGGCTTTTGATGCAAAAGAAGATCAATGAATCCATGTCTGAGAATGTGTATTCTGGAAATGTAAGTCTAATTGATTTAATCTTCTCTTTTCCTCATCTTATGCAGGTGCCACAGGGTATATGTATGTACCACTTTGATAATTGGTTACGTATCTGTTATTGTAAGTTACCTGGAATCCAGTTGTGACAATCAGTGGTTGGAAAAAGAGTTGGTTTACTCATAATATCAATCATTAGACAAAGTGTAAAACTACTAGCATTCAATTGCGATTGCTGCAATCTGCTTGGCTATGCTTCTTGCTATCTATTCCCTGATAGATAGTAAGTAGAATTAGTAGCCTAACAGCATACAGTTGTCAGTTAACAAAATAGATAAATAAATATGAGCTTGTTTTCTTGTTCAGTTGGGAGTGATGAGTAGATTTATTGTGAAACAATTACGCTATTTTCTCTCCATTTTCTGTGCATGATACTATATTTAGGCTTCACCTTCATCAGCTATCACATGATCACTTGAACTAATAATGTAACTTTTAAATAAGAAATGCATACACCTTATATAATGGTTGAACATGCGGTAAGCACAGGCATTTTGCTGGTTGGGGGGTGTTGAAAGTAGTGAGCAAAATCGCTGCCTGTATTATATTTTTAAACAATCAAATATGAGATTTGTCATTTCATTAAATATTACATTTACTTCGTTTACCAGAAAGTTGGCATCCAGTTTCTAAATACTCCCTACAACCTTAGCTGAGCATGATATCGATTGCACAAGAAGTGTGCAAAGACAAAAACAAAGACAAAAAACATTTAAATCTTCTTTTGACCTACCAAAAAAGATCTGGCATGCTTTCAGCATGGCAGTTTAAGGCTCTAATTTCTGTCCAGCAAAGTAGCACTTAATTTACTTTTTAATCAGCCACAAGAAGATTTACATGGATAGCACAATAGAGAGCGACGGTATTGATGATTTTTAACTATAAGCCAATGTCCCTCTGTAATTTTTTTATAGTTCACAGTCAAGATTCAGAGGAAGGCTGAGGAGGGATTGTATAACTTGTATTTTCATATCTGTCCCATACCAGGTGTAAAAAAAAAAACAGCTACTGTGAATATTGAGGTGATGTACTTGATATTCTTATTGATGCATCCTTAGATTTAACCATTTAAACCCCAAGAGTGACTAACATCTAATTTCTCCTTACAAGTCATTCCTGAATCACACATTAAGGTCAAACGATTTAAAGAAATAATCATGAACCAAGAAAGCTCTTGATTAAACAAATTCTCCTTGTCAGCTACTATTAAAATTTATGGAGAGCAGTTTAGAAAATATGCATACTGATTGCAGAACCATGTGTGTAAAAGGTATTTTCATTCTACTTAAAATTATGTCTACAAATACATACGAATATATATTAAAAT